CATGAAGCCCACGACAGAGCCTGGTTGGGTAAAGCCAGACGGGCTCTGCACACCACCATATGTGCTGGAAAGCCCTCGAGACAACTCATAGGCCCTAGATGTCTGACTTGCTGGGCTGTACTGCTCAAACCTTGAAACTAGGGCTCCATATTGGCCACTAGGGGCACTCTGCACCTGGGAAGGGGCACTCTGAAAGCCAGGCTGGAAACTGCTAGGAGCCTGCCATGTTGTTGCACCTTGAGAAGGCACAGTCAGGTAAGGGCTTCCAGTCCGCTGAGGAAGATCACTGGCAGGCCTTACACTGCTGGATGTTACAGGGGCACCTTGGCTAGTAAAGAGCCTTGCCTTTAACTGGGTGAGGGGACCTGGGCGACTCTGGCTCACTGCCTGTGGATTATACCAGCTGGGACTGGAGTACGTAGCACCATAACTGCCTTGAGAAGAGCTTGTCAAGCCACCTCCTAAATTCTGGGGTTGAGACAGGGGCTTGCTTCCTTGTCCAGCTGAAGCATAGGCAAGTTGATCTGAGAACCTTTGAGGTTGGGAAGGTGAAGGACCAACATTAGCCAGTTGGGGTCTCCCTGACTGTCCTGAAGATTGGGCCCAGAAGCCACCTTGTTGCAGGGGGGTCAGGGCATCATCTCTAGCTGTGGTTTGCACTCTTGTACCAACAGGCTGCCTGGAGAAACCCTGAACACCAGGTGCAGACTGAAGGCTGCCAGAAGATCCCTGTTGAAAAGCACCTTGTTGGGGAGTGCCAAGAACACTCTGCCTAAAGCCAGTAGAGAAACTAGGTAGCTGGGATTGAGGTGCAGGGCCACCAAGGCGTTCACTTTGGAACACAGGCTGGTAGTTGCCAAAGCCACTGGCAGGCACAGCTACAGAAGAGGGCACTTGGCTGCGTAGCTCAACAGGTTGAGACAGTCCAGAATCCTGGCTACTGTCAGCAGTCAGACTAGAGCTGGTTCTAGTTTGAGCAGACACAACCCTGGGACTCCCTCTGTCTGTCAGGGTTCTGGAAAGATAGGATCCATCAGATGAAAGGCCAGGTTTTGGGAACTGAGGCAGAGGGGCAGAGACATCTGCAGTGCCCTGATCCTGAAGAGGTCCTTTACTCCATACTTGGAGGGGAAGAAAGAAAAATTAAGTCAAGACTCATAACAACTTGAATCCAAACACAAAACTATTCTGATTTGTTCAGTCCTACCTCCATATCCACTAGCATCCCTCAAGACACACAAAGTAGTGAAAAGTATCCAAAACCTACAACACAAAACAGGTAACTAACTCACAAAAATTCTCATTGTTAAGTGAATAGGCAAAGTAAGACCACATCAAATTATTACCTTTTACACCACCAAGCCATGTCGCCAATAGTGAATAGCCAAAGTCCTGAAACACAGCCAACTGCAAAAGCAAATGGCCATACTTCAGCATTCTACATGCCTTCTTTTAAACCCTTCAATTAACCCAGTTGATGAACAGCACCTGCTCACATGTCACATGACTTCTTATGCCCTTCACACTTAAGAAACAACAGATAGCCCTCATTATTATATGCCCACAGTACACCATACTTCTTGTCTAATGACTTAAACACCACTAAGAGTTTGAATACAAATTGAGGAACACACAGTGAAGCATAGCAATACTACTGCTGTTGTTGTTCCAGATATTGAGTCTTTGCTGATGGCTTATCTTACCTTAATTCGACTCAGGCTGCATTTCTAAAAACAAACATGACAAATGAATTTTCACACTTTGTAAAAATAACACAGGCAAATGTCCAGTTTATATTACATTACAGAGTTCATTAATCAGACTCATTGACTACAGCAACACAACCACCCCAGAAGGCAAATGTCCAATTTAGAGATATGTTGACTCTTTGGTATGAGATATATCTGTATTTGTCTTGTTTGTATTAAAATGTCATTGTTGGCAAAGTCTCATTAAATATGTATGTGCCTAATGCAAGATTTTGTAAATAAATAACATTTAATCTCATTAAACTCTACATTATTTTTCCATTTTAATACAGAAAATGACTCTACAATTGTGATCCTTACATGAACCTAGTTCTGGTACATGGAAAATGGCAAGAATTTTTATATACCAATACATTAAAGGTATTTATAGACACATTTAAAGCGAGTCACCAGATTTGATTGATGCTACAACCACTGTGGCTCTGTTCCAGGTAAAGGTTGCTGTTGATGGCACGATCATTCACGGTTTAGATTTTTTAGTCTGAAGTTTGCAGCTCAAACAAAAGTTGTCAACTTTATTCTGCCCACTCCTTTTTCTAGTCTGGACATGTGTATTACCTTAGAGAACCAGGTTATTTGGGATCAGAGTATGCGAACGATTGGCAGATTTCTGATCTTCTTTCAAAGCGTTCTGTAATGACTCCACTCCAACTCCATTCTGGGTTTTTTAATTTTCCGCTCATTGCTCTTATAAGAGAGAACTCACTCACTTACGTTATTGTTTTGCTATTGGGTGTCGATCAGAGGAGGATGGGTTCCACTTTTGAGTCTTAGTTCCTCTCAGGGTTGCTTCCTCTTTTTAGGGAGTTTTTCTTAGCCACTGTCACCATCGGTGTCGCTCACGAATAATTTAAACCCTATATTTATTTAACTATACTACAAAGACAACATATCAAATGCTAAAACATAGAGATTTTATTGTATTTTTAAAAATATGACCATTTTGAATTTGATGGCAGCAACACGTTCCAAAAACATTGGGGACGGGGGCATGTTTACCACTGTGTTGCATCACCTCTTCTTTAAACAACACTCTGTAAGTGTCTGGGAACTGAGGAGACCAACTGTTGCAGTTTTGAAAGTGAAATGTTTTCCCTTTCTTACTTGATATAGGATTTCAGCTGCTCAACAGTTTGGGGTCTCTTTTGTCATATATCTCGTCTCATAAAGTGCCATATGTTATCAGTGGGTGACAGGTCTGGACTGCAGCCAGGTCAGTTTAGCTCCCTTACACTTTTACTACAGAGCCCTGCTGTTGTAACACACACAGAATGTGATTTTACATTGTTTTGCTGAAATAAGCAGGGCCTTTCCTGAAAAAGATGTCTGAATTTACACAGCGTCCCAAATGTTTTGGAAATGGGGTTATAAAAACAAGTTAAACAATCTCTGCTACACAAGTTTTTTTGGCAGATACAGGGTGGAAACGATAGCCCAGCAAATTGGATAATGCAACACTCATTGTGTGTAATATCTGTAGAATTTTGCTCGGTGAGAAATGCTTTTACAGTTACATGACATTTTGATAAATATTATCAGGACTTAATAACAAACAGAGAAAAAATAGAATGTGATCTTTAAAAATAATAATAGTAAAAAAGAACTGAACAAAAGCTTCCCAGCACACCAGTCAATATGTAGTCAAGTTTTTACCCAAAGATAAAGCCACATGTACAAGGACGAGAACTTGTTAGGAATCCAAACTACTGAGAAGACTTCCTAAAGCAGCGCCGTCAACATTTGGGTTTCTGAACAGTTAGAAAATCAAAAGTTATGCAGAGTTCAGATACTGACATGTTTTATTGGAAAATTCAGACTCCGATTATCCAGACATTGAGACATGGGCGCCATGATACTATTAATGTTGTACCAGAACTTGAGTCTAACTTGACGGCGTATCCTAACTAAGTTTAACTCAGGTTGTATTTCTGATATGAAAACACAAACATTTCACAAAAATATGACAAATGAATTCTGTGTCACAGGTTTTCAGAACAAAACACTCAAAAGTGAAGCTTATCTTAAATTAGTGTTACTAAAATATGTTAATTTGACACTAGAATTTTCATTTAGAGGAGTAACGGTTGAAAAAATTATGGAAGAAATTATGGAAGTTCTTACAGTGGTTTGAAATCAGTGCCACTGTAAAAACTAATTTCAGTAATATCATAAATGTTTTATATGTGTTAGTCTAGATGACTGTCTCTACCCCTGCATATTACCCAAGAGAATCAAACAGACTTGATATACTCCTCAACTAAATTTGAGTTAAACTACAACCCTGACTTTAAGGTTGGGCACAGTGAGGAATCATAGGTGATGCTGATAAACTGTTTCATTATCAAATAGAATGAAAAAGACCAGAATTTCAGCTTATACTGACTACAGACTGACTACAGCAGTGGTTTTCAATCTGTGGGCTTTGGCAATTCTGCAAGGGGAGCATTGCTGGTCATTCTGTTTTAAATGCAAGACTTCATGTTATGAATACATTCAACCAAGCCAATAATTTAAATGTGACAAATACGATTGTTGTGATAATTTGTATTTTCAGTGCAAGACTGTAAATTGTTCCATTTTTGAAACAGAACACATCCATCATGGGAAAATAAACAGAACATTAAGACTATTTTGGTGTGTATTAGGTGACTTGGTTTTAAAGTTAAGTGAAATTCCATAGGCATCATTGTATCGTATTTGCCTCCATTTGAAATGATCAAGCCCGTTAAGTCTCCTTGTGGACCATGGAGGCTTTTATGGTCAGTTGTGCAGGCCATAACTTTCGAAAGGTTTGCCTGCATTATTATTACTAATCATTCCAGAGGACAGACACCCAGTACAGAGACACATCTGTAAGATGGGCACAGAATATTTATTATTAAAGAATAATATTTATCCTGTGCCCATTTGATTAGATAAACCTGTTATACTGTGGCTGCAGCCCTGAGTAGACTGTATTATCCTAACAGCACTGTTTCTATGTTTAATCTTAATGAACATAGGAAAGTGAAAAAACCCTTCTAAAACTACCAAAGTCCAGATCTCTGTGTCCTCATAGCTAGTTATGGCTATGATTACAGACTGTGATACTTGAAATTAATTTGTGAGATCAATTTTCTAAAAGTGTGGACAGGTAAAAGCACCCACTGCTGCAGAAATGCTCTTACATAATATTTTCCTCTGACCAACCAAACCAAAGAGACAAGGCACAGATCAAATACTGACATTTTATTAGATCACTTTAGTAAACAAACAGGACAAACAAGGTCAATTTACCTACACCAGCATTTGAGAGCCAAACATCAGGTAGATGCTCAACCTTTGACTGAGGAATCACGCTGGGCAGAAACCCTTTGTGATGCAGGCCTGAAATAGGAAACGTCACTCAGGCCCGCACTGTAGGCATCACCAGTTGAGCTTAGGCTTGGAGAGCCACTGTAGAAGCTTGGTGAAAGTGGAGCAGAGGAGCCACCAGATGCTACCTCAGCCACAGGGGTTTGCTGGGGTTGCATGAAGCCCACAACAGAGCCTGGTTGGGTAAAGCCAGGCGGGCTCTGCACACCACTATAGGTGCTGGAAAGCCCTCGAGACAACTCATAGGCCCTAGATGTCTGACTTGCTGGGCTGTACTGCTCAAACCTTGAAACTAGAGCTCCATATTGGCCACTAGGGGCACTCTGCACCTGGGAAGGGGCACTCTGAAAGCCAGGCTGGAAACTGCTAGGAGCCTGCCATGTTGTTGCACCTTGAGAAGGCACAGTCAGGTAAGGGCTTCCAGTCCGCTGAGGAAGATCACTGGCAGGCCTTACACTGCTGGATGTTACAGGGGCACCTTGGCTAGTAAAGAGCCTTGCCTTTAACTGGGTGAGGGGACCTGGGCGACTCTGGCTCACTGCCTGTGGATTATACCAGCTGGCACTGGAGTACGTAGCACCATAACTGCCTTGAGAAGAGCTTGTCAAGCCACCTCCTAAATTCTGGGGAGGAGACAGGGGCTTGCTTCCTTGTCCAGCTGAAGAAGCATATGCAAGTTGATCTGAGAGCCTTTGAGGTTGGAAAGGTGAAGGACCAACATTAGCTGGCTGGGGTCTCCCTGACTGTCCTGAAGATTGGGCCCAGAAGCCACCTTGTTGCGGAGGGGTCAGGGCATCATTTCTAGATGTGGTTTGCATTCTTGTACCAACAGACTGCCTGGAGAAACCCTGAACACTGGGTACAGACTGAGGGCTGCCAAAAGATCCCTGTTGAAAAGCACCTTGTTGGGGAGCACCAAGAACACTCTGCCTAAAGCCAGTGGAGGAACTAGGTAGCTGGGATTGAGGTGCAGGGCCACCAAGGCGTTCACTTTGGAACACAGGCTGGTAGTTGCCAACAAAGCCACTGGCAGGCACAGCTACAGAAGAGGGCACTTGGCTGCGTAGCTCAACAGGTTGAGACAGTCCAGAATCCTGGCTACTGTCAGTAGTCAGACTAGAGCTGGTGCTAGTTTGAGCAGACACAACCCTGGGACTCCCTCCATCTGTCAGGGTTCTGGAAAAATAGGATCCATCAGATGAGAGGCCAGGTTTTGGGAATTGAGGCAGAGGAGCAGAGACATCTGCACTGCCCTGATCCTGAAAAGGTCCTTTACTCCATACTTGGAGAGGTAATAAAAGGAAAGATCAAGACTCGTTAAGATTCAAATACAAACACAAAGAAAACCATTCTGATTTGTTCAATCCTACCTCCATATCCACTAGCATCCCGCAAGACACACAAGGTAGTGACAAGTATCCAAAGCCTACAACAAAACAGGTAACAAATTCACCAAAATCCACATTGTTAAGTAAATATTAGCAAGCTGAAACCACAATATCCATTAAAAATTATTACCTTTTATTACACCAAGCCATATCTCTAGTAGAGCCTGCTGAGGTCAAGGTCCTGCAAAACTTTCAAGTGGACCAAAAGCAAATGGAGACGCTTGAGTAGTCTACATGCTTTCTTTTAAACCCCTCAATTAAGTCAGCTGATGGACATCACCTGCTCATGTCACGACATCTCATTCCTTTCATAGTTAAGAAACAGTTGATTGATAGCCCTCATTATTATGGGCCCACATTACAACAAACTTCTAGAAATTGAGAAACAGCTTTTGACACAGTGAAGAATAACAATATTAATGTTGTTCGTCAAAAGTCACATTTTTATTAAATTACAGAGATTGTTAATCAGGCTCAATTTGTTATTTGGGATCAGAGTGTGCAAATTGAGTTGCAGGTATTTCTGATCTTTGCTGCGTCTCTAATGACTCCACTTCAACTTCCCGTCTGGGTTTTCTAATTTTCCACTCCTCACTAACTCCTGGCTCACACATCAGGGAAAACCATATGATTCCTTCTTGTAAAATTGAGTTTATATCTTTAATGTGTGGGTAAGACATTATTCACTTCACTTCATGAACTACATAATTCATGGCTGTTTTTAAACAAAAAAATATTTAAATAGTCTGTGTTAGACAGGCTTTTTTGGTAGGTGTAGGCTTGAACCAACAGCCGAGGGTAAATAAATCCACACACTTAGTATGTTTATAATTCCTGCAGCAAAATTGATGACACAAAACTAATTGTGTGATATCTGTAAAATTATGTTGCAGTTCCAGAAGATTTTCCTTACCTTTTAAATAATCTTTTCAAGTTTTAATGATAAACTGAGAAAAACAGAATGTGGACTGCTAAGACTGTGTTTTAGATATTTCTACAGGATTGTAACTTGTGCATGTTACATGTAGGCTGAAAAAGAAAGAAAAGAACCGCAAAAAGTTTCCTAGCATATGAGACAATATATAGTCAAATTATTTACGCAAAGATAAAACCATGTGTGCAAGGCAACTTGTTAGGAAAACTACTGAGAGGACTTCCTAAAACAGTGCAGTCAACATTTAGGTTTCTAAACAGTGTGAATACACAAAGTCATTCAGAGACCAGATACTGACACGTTTTTTCGGAACATTCAGACTTTAAACATCTAGTCACTGAGACATGAGAACAGTGATACTAATGATGTTGTACCAGAACAGTTTACCTGAGAGTACCTCAGATCGTTACCTCACTGAGTTTAGCTCAGGTTGCATTTCTGAAAAACTCAAATATTTCACAAAAATGTGACAAATGAATTCATTGTCACACTTTTTAGAAAAAACAATCATAAGGTATCTTTATCTTAAATTATAGTCAATATGTTAATTAGACAAGAATTCTCACTCAGTGGAGTAATAATTGAAAACACAATTCCATGATATTATGGAAGTTCTCACAGTAGTTTGAAATCAGTGGTATTGTAAATATTGTAGCTTTGGCAGCAAACAAAACACAGGAGTAGCCATTAGTCTGCTGCAGAAGTGCTCTTTATTGAACACACCAGCAGAAAGGGCACAAACAGAACACCAAACTCAAGGGGGAAGGCACCAGCCAGTAGCAGGACACTACATAGACCCCCTTTTAAAGGTCAGCTGGACCCCAGTGACCTACCAACACGAGCCAAGTCCTTGGGTGCGCTCACAGTCCCGACAAGCACAAACACCATGGGGCACTCGCTCATCAGCAGCAAGCACCCCCAGTCCTTCCCCTGGGCCATGCCCCCACTACCACAGCTCCTCTGTATATGGTACAGCTCCCCACAGCGTACTGCATCAAGTCCCTCCTGCACCAGCAACACTGTCCCAAACACAGCTTGTGTATGCTGGGGTTCTGCCTTTGCTGCAGGTGACTGACCTGAGCTGGACGATGGTCACCTTCCAGCTGTGTGATGTGCCCCTCTTGGTGCGCCAGCATGCTGGTCAAAGTAGAGATATTGGCAAGCTTGTGGTGGTGAGCACAATGAGCCATCTGTAGCACACACCGCACTTGACCCACCACAAATGCAATGTCCTCTCTCTTGCAGCGATGACTTGTGAACTGCTCTATTGCTCACTGTGGCATTCTCGCACTGAAGTCTTCTATGATTTCAGTTTCGCCAGCCTTGTGAAAATCTAGTCAGCCAATCACCATCTTGCTGGATCAGATGGCAGGGAAGACTGGCAGTCAGACCTGGTAGGCCCAAGGGAACAGTGAGGGTTTGCTAGGAATGACTGGCAGAGGCCCCTGTTCGGAATGATTTTAACTCCCACCTTCGGGAAAGTCCAAATGGCCCCTCTTTAAAACCTCAATTGTGGAAGCTACCAGGCCAAAAGCCTGTTTGTGCTGTCAGGGCAGCAATCCAAGAATCCCCTAGTGGTGAGGGAGGCTGCCAAGCTGAGGAAGGAGGCCTTCAGGGACTGGTTGGTCCATAGGACTCCCAACTCAGCAGATAGGTACTAATGGACAAAAAAGGCAGCAGAGGCGGTGGTGGCAGAAGCAAAATCCAGAACATGGGAGAAGTATGGAGAGGCCATGGAAAATTTTCGGTTGGCTTCAAGGAGGTTCTGGACAACTGTCCGGTCGCTCAGGAGCAGTTGGAGTGGCCTCACTTAAGCTGTACCCAGCAGGGGTGAAGAAACTCTGACTTTGCTTCTAACAATCCTGTAGAGATATCTAAAATAGAGTTCATATTCTGTTTTCTCAGCTTGTTATTAAATCCTGAAACGATTCATCAAAATATGAAGTGTACTGGAATTTCTGATCCAAAACAACCTGGTTCTTTAAGGAAATAAACATATCCAGTCTAGAAAATAGATGGGCAGAGGAGTTATTGTTTAAGCTGCCAATTAAAGGATGTAAATATCAAAACTGTGAATGATAGTCCTATCAACAGGATCTGGTGCTTGCAAAGAAAATGTGAGTGATTTTGTAAGCTGTTTCAAATATGTCTACAAAGGCTTAAAATCTATCAGTATATGGATTTTTTTTATTTGAATATTTGAATGGCAAAACAATTTGTAGTTTTATGGGATAAAATTACTCACTTGTTGACTAAACATTCCATTTGGCACAACTGACTGTTGCTTATACATATTTAACAAGCGAGACCTCACTAACAATAAAGTTCAACACAAACAAGACAAATGCAAATATATTTTGTACAGATGAGTCACAGTGCCCCTTCTGGAATGATTGTTAAGGTGTAACCAATATGAGTTGGGTCTTAATAATCTCTGTGATATAAGATACGTTTGACTTTTGACAGTGTTATTTTTACAAACAGTTAATTTGTCAAACAATTAATTTGTCATATTGTTGTAAAATTTATGTTTTTTAAGATTTGCAACCTGAGTTGAATTTAAATAAGATAAGCCATCAGCAAAGACTATATATGTGAAAGAACAACAATAGTACTGCTGTGCTTCAGTGTGTCAAAAGCTGTTTCTCAATTTCTATTCAAACTCTTAGTGGTATTTAAGTCATTAGATTAGAGGTTTGTTGTATTGTGGGCCCATAATAATGAGGGCTATTAATCAGCTGTTTCTTAACTGTGGAGGGAATGAGAAGTCATGTGACATGTGAGCAGGTGATGTCCATCAGCTGACTTAATTGAGGGGTTTAAAAGAAGACCGGTAGCATGCTAAGGTATCTCTATTTGCTTTAGATGCATTCGGAAGTTTTGTAGGACTGAGCAGTCACTATTGGAGACATGGCTTGGTGGTATAAAAGGTAATAATTTGATGTGGACTTTGTGGTCTTAGCTTGTTAATATTTACTTAATGTGGATTTTTGAATTAGTTAACTGTTTTGTGTTGTAGGTTTTGGATACTTGTCACTACCTTGTGTGTCTTGCGGGATGCTAGTGGATATGGAGGTAGGATTGAACAAATCAGAGGTTTTCTTTGTTTGGATTTAAACTGTAATGAAGTCTTGATCTTTCCTTTTATTTTCCCTCTCCAAGGATGGAGTAAAGGACCTCTTCAGGATCAGGGCACTGCAGATGTCTCTGGCCCTCTTCTTCAGTTCCCAAAACCTGGCCTTTCATCTGATGGATCCTATCTTTCCAGAACCCTGACAGATGAAGGGAGTCCCAGGGTTGTGTCTGCTCAAACTAGCACTAGCTCTAGTCTGACTGCTGACAGTAGCCAGGATTCTGGACTGTCTCAACCTGTTGAGCTACGCAGCCAAGTGCCCTCTTCTGTAGCTGTGCCTGCCAGTGGCTTTTGTTGGCAACTACCAGCCTGTGTTCCAAAGTGAACGCCTTGGTGGCCCTGCACCTCAATCCCAGCTACCTAGTTCCTCTACTAGCTTTAGGCAGAGTGTTCTTGGTGCTCCCCAACAAGGTGCTTTTCAACAGGGATCTTTTGGCAGCCCTCAGTCTGTACCCAGTGTTCAAGGTTTCTCCAGGCAGCCTGTTGGTACAAGAGTACAAACCACATCTAGAAATTATGCCCTGACCCCTCCGCAACAAGGTGGCTTCTGGGCCCAATCTTCAGGACAGTCAGGGAGACCCCAGCCAGCTAATGTTGGTCCTTCACCTTTCCAACCTCAAAGGCTCTCAGATCAACTTGCATATGCTTTTTCAGCTGGACAAGGAAGCAAGCCCCTGTCTCAACCCCAGAATTCAGGAGGTGGCTTGACAAGCTCTTCTCAAGGCAGTTATGGTGCTACGTACTCCAGTCCCAGCTGGTATAATCCACAGGCAGTGAGCCAGAGTCGCCCAGGTCCCCTCACCCAGTTAAAGGCAAGGCTCTTTACTAGCCAAGGTGCCCCTGTAACATCCAGCAGTGTAAGGCCTGCCAGTGATCTTCCTCAGCGGACTGGAAGCCCTTACCTGACTGTGCCTTCTCAAGGTGCAACAACATGGCAGGCTCCTAGCAGTTTCCAGCCTGGCTTTCAGAGTGCCCCTTCCCAGGTGCAGAGTGCCCCTAGCCAATATGGAGCCCTAGTTTCAAGGTTTGAGCAGTACAGCCCAGCAAGTCAGACATCTAGGGCCTATGAGTTGTCTCGAGGGCTTTCCAGCACCTATGGTGGTGTGCAGAGCCCGACTGGCTTTACCCAACCAGGCTCTGTTGTGGGCTTCATGCAGCCCCAGCAAACCCCTGTGGCTGAGGTAGCATCTGGTGGCTCCTCTGCTCCAGTCTTGCCAAGCTTCTACAGTGGCTCTCCAAGCCTAAGCTCAACTGGTGATGCCTACAGTGCGGGCCTGAGTGACGTTTCCTATTTCAGGCCTGCATCACAAAGGGTTTCTGCCCAGCGTGATTCCTCAGTCAAAGGTTGAGCATCTACCTGTTTCTCTGAAATGCTGGTGTAGGTAAACTGGCTGTTTTGTCTTGTCTATTGACTAAAGTGATCTAATAAAACTTCAGTATTTGATCTCTACTTTGTCTCTTTGATTTCAAAGCAGTTTACTCAAATTGAGTTCAGGCTAACCTAGTTTGTCTACCCCATTTCATTGGGTATGGCTGCCTTATATCTGAGGTCTTGGTTCAGATTCCTCACAATTTTTCCATGTAAACTCAGACAGGTGGAGGTTTGCTGACTGATTTGGATAGTGAATAAAATGGCAATGTTGTTGACATGGTGATCCCTGGTTCCTATCACTACTGCTGTCTAATTTGGTGTATCTATGATGAACCACTCGCACCAAACATGTTTTCACTGACAGAATAATGCAGAAATGGAAGGAATTCTCCTCAAACATGGAGTGCATTTCCATGCACTCATTCTGATCATAATCTCATTATTCCAGTTATCAGATTATTCAAATAGTCATGCAAATGCCCTATTCAGATCTAGAAATCCAATAAAGAACTGAATTTTGGCCTGGTAATCAGATTTCTCAGTGCATGTATGCTTGTACTTGAATTTGTCAGATGGCTGTACTGAAAATAAGCAAGCAGCGTTGCTGTGAGATGGCAGCAAAACACTTTTAGAGCAATGAGGCAACCAAACATGAAATAAAGGATGTAAATAATTATCTTCAAGAGCTATGTTCAAAATTTCAGGTAAAGTTTTACATTACGTTTGTCATGTCTTCTGTGAATTTATTGGCTTGTTGCAAAGCAAAAATCTGATTGCTGTCTGACTCACGTAGACCTGGATTTTCCCATTATCTAATTACTCAAGTGCATGTAAATGCACTAATCAGATTACTGACAAAATCTTTGATTTTCTGCAGTTATTGGATTAAGTGCATGTAAACACACTCATGGTGGTTCTGGTGGGCAGGGAAAAATGTGGCCTGGACAAAATATTTGGTAAATAACTCAAATTTGCAGGAAAATACCATTTTTAAGTGTTTTCTGTAGAGGATGTTTCCTTTGACTTCCACTGAGGAAATCAAAACTTTTAAAATAGGGGTGTTTAAACTCTGGAATACAACTGTTTGCATGTATCTGTACCTGGAATAGATTCCCTTGTGGAAGTGTGTAAGATCTACAACAGAGTCTTATTGGTCTTGCCCTAGAAGGAAGAAACCCTGAAAGGAACCATGACTCAAAAGGGAAACCCATCCTCTTCTGATCAACTCCTGAAAGCAAAACAATAGTGGACTGATTCACATGGAGCGAGTTTTCTCTGATGAGTGAACGATGACTCGTTTTAAGTGTGTCTACAAATACCTTTAATGTATTGGTATATACGTCCCCTCATCCAATTAACGGTGAGGCTCTTTACTAGCCAACGTGCCACTGTAACATTCAGCAGTGTAAGGCCTGCAGTGTAAGGCCTGTCTTCTCAAGGTGCAACAACTTCTTCTAGCAGTTTCTAGCCTCACTTTCAGAGTGCCCTCTCCCAGGTGTAGAGTGTCTGTGGTGGTCAGTATGGAGCACTACTTTCAAGGTTTGCCCAGTACAGCCCAGCAAGTCAAACATCTATGGTCTATGAGTTGTTCCAGCACCTATGGTGGCATGCAGAGCCCGTCTGGCTTTACCCGAACGAGCTCTGTCATGGGCTTAACGCAACCCCAGCAGTCCTCTGTGGCTAAAGTAGCACCTGATGACTCCTCTGCTTCAGTTTTGTCAGACCTCTACAGTGGGTTTCCAAGCTTGAGTTCAACTGGGGACTCCTTCAGTGAGAGTCTGAGTGAACCTTCCTACAAGTCAGCATCCCAAAGGGTTTCTGCCCAGCGTGACTCCTCAGTTAAGTATTGAGTATGTGTGTGCCTATGACTATGGAATACTGGTGTAATTGTTAACTTTTTGTGTTTATTAGTGTTCTAATAAAAGCAAATCAATACTTGATCTCTACATTACTTGTTTTCAAGCTATTTAGAAATACAAGGGTCTGTTCCAGTTTGGTTTGATTAAAACTACACTGATGTTGCTGCTCTATTGGGCCAGTTTTTTAGTACAAAAAATGGCCATATAAACCCTGATGCACACAAAGTGACTTTGACACACTGGGTGATCTTGGTGCCATGTTGTAACCTGACCATCGACCATAACTGTGTTTGTAGTAGTATTGTTTACCAAAGGTTTTTTAAGATGAAATCCATGGTTAGCCATTCAATTATGAAATTTCCCTACCCCTGAATGGTTGTTAATGACTCTGAGGTAGTAGTGTCATAAATCCTGGGCTGGGTTATTCGCTTAGTCGTGGTTTAGAGTTTAAACCTTAATGAGTCACATGGGTTCTTAAGCTCCATTGCTGTGTTGTTGAAGGCCGCATTTTAAACTAAACCCAATTGCTGCATTTAAAACATCTGACGCTAGATGGTGCTGTGTAGCAGGTTTAGAGGTTCATCTAATACCTGCTACTGCCATGGTGTGAGGTTTAAGTCAAGATTATTGTTAAATCTGGGGTCAGTGTGCAGTATTAAAGCAGGTCAGCTGTGCAGCTCCTTGTGAGTGTGGGACACAGGGCTCGTCCCAGTCACGTGCCAAATTGTGGAGCACTATGTGCGACAACAATGTTGCTTGTGTGCTGGTTTGCGGTCAGGTGGTGGTGCAAGTAAAGCGGCTCTTTTTTGATGTAGCAATGCGCTTGTGGCCTTCGTCAAATTTTAGCTCAGTAGGTGAACTGGGCCCTTTGGAGAGGTCTCAGCAGATACCGATGCAGAGGGTGGCCTTGTTCACCAAGTAGAACACCACTGTGAGCTCTTTCCTTAGGTTGAGTCATTCAATCCACTCAATGTCATTCAGGTTCATGTCAGCTAATCATTTAAAAACCACCATGCATACTTCTATGAGTGAGTGGCAAGACAGTTTATAATAGGATTAAAAGACAGCACCGTACACGGTGCGGCCCAGTGATGTGCACAGACTTTGTGACATATTAATTTACATTGTGCTGTTAGTTTAAAACTAAGAAAGGTTTATATTCCGTGCTTTAAGTGTAAATGAACTCAACAAAGACATATGTTTTAATATTAAGATTTTTTTATTTAAAAAATGCAGTGTTTTGTATTTGGCTGATTACGATGTAATTTGACAGTACATCCGGTTTAGCAGAAGTTTAGCAGTGGATCAGGTAGACTTGTGTTTGTTCTGAAGGAACAATCAGGTTTAGTTTGACGTGCTGCTGCGTGTTAATTTCCTGAACTGGAGACTGGAGTTATGAGTTTAGCCAAACACTGAGACTAAGCTGCTGTCAAACTAATACAGACAAATATTGGATTTCATGTGTTCTTTTTTTGCTATCAAAAATCAATCAGGATACAGTCTGGATATGGCAAAAATTGGATCTGGGCTGGCAGTCTGTAAATACCTGAAGATTAATGCTTATGCCAGAGAATTCTGAAGTGTTTGGAGGGGAAGATGATGCACCTCCACCTCTCCTGCATCCATTATGTGGACAGTCATCTCTCCAGTTTGCCTGCAGCCTGAACATAGCCTTAGATCTCCAGGACCAGGATTGATGTCCACTGACCTGAAGTGTTAACAAGACACTAGAATTGTCTTGGAAAAGTGTTGGAAAATAGTGTCTTACTTGGTGCTAGGTGCAACCAGAAAAAGCAGAATTTTTCAGTTAGCTGTTGGACTGGTTTGATTTAAATAATACTATGCTAAGATTACACACTAATTATAAACATTTCACAAGTTAGTCTGTATAACTATGTGGCAGAATCCACTTTGCTCTGTGCAGCTCTGGTGTCTTGGCCTCTGCATTCCCCAAGAAAATCAGACTGGCTTGAAAAAATCCTCAAGTACATGGTGACAAAAAAGGAGCAGTAAATGAGGCAAGACAAACAACAGAAAAGCGCATAATGTTCGGTTGCCAGGACTGGAATCCCTGAGCTAGAGACGTGGTACCCAAACCCTCCTCCTGAAGATCTGCTTTCCTGCAGAGTTTAGTTCCAACCTGCTTCTAACATGGTGCCCATCTCTTTACCTAACACTAAAGCATCTGATCCAGCCAGTCAGACTTCTGAAGAAGTTAATTATCTGGAGTAGGTGTGGCAGACTGTTGTTTGAACTACAGTCCAAAGGAAGGTATGGTTGCAGTCTGTTCTGTTCTTCAACAGATGATAATCTATATATTAACTTTTCATCAGCAACAATATGCATGAGTCACGACAGAGCACAAATGGTAAGGGCTCTATCCCAATATTAAGAACCGTTTAGGAACCTTTAAAGTGTGTACTGCAATAGATTCTACACACATGCACACATGCTCTTTTCATCAGCCATCCACCAGTTCATTACAAAACAAGTATTTATTTTATTTGCATTATTTTTTCTAGCAAAAACCAGTGCATTACATGGAAACTTCACAGCAGTGATTGATTTTAAAAATAACCTCTGTCCCTCACATCTAGAACGCAGATGTGAGTGTTTTTTCTTTTTCTTTTTTTAATATATGATACGTGCTTGCAGCAGTGGAGTGCTGATGCCAACGGGAGTGATCTTACATACAGTATAATCTCAGACGCTATAAAGAGATATGAAACAGATCAGATAATGCAGTCTTATGACAGGTATCCTTCTGTACTCTGGCTCATAGTTAACCCGAAAAAGTGAAATGTTACATCATCTGAAAACATCTTTTCTCTCAATGTACTTTGAAATGAAGTTCACTGGTTTATACTTCTTTTGGTAATAGATGCCATCCATAAACTGATTTATAACTTTTAGATATGAAGTGGGGCACCAAATTTAAAATCATATTTCAGTCTCCACTCAAGATGTTTAATCGAGCCAAATAACATTAAAGGATTGAGAAGCCTGCTCAGTCTAGACAAATCAGTTAAAAATTCAATTTTATACTCTCAGATAAACAGCAGTCATACCAAACCAATCCAAGAAATAAAAAAAAATGCTTGGAGAAACTGGAGCCTGGAACAAGTCAAAGATAAAAGAAAAGAAAAGTACTCACTCTGAAAACCTGTTTGGGTTTTTTTTTTCACATGAAGCAGTTAATCTGCATGCCTGATTATAATAAGTGAATTAATTTATGAATTGATATTTATAAATAGCATTTCTCCAAAACCAGGACACACGCTATGATACTTTATCCTTCATTACTTATACTTCAGATTTCATAACCTTCATATAAGAGAAAGGCAAAAAATGATACAAACACAGAAAATCTGTTTCAAACCTGAAAAAACTACCTTGAAGAGCTGCTGATAATACTGTCAATCAATACTGGGTTGCATAAACAAATTCATTGGCAAAATTCAACACTGTTAATACAAAAGCTGGAAAGTAAAAGCTTAAACCTTCATCATAACCATTAACAAAATTAGTGAACATTTCTGGGTCAGTCAATTTCCACATTTTTACGTACTTCAATAGCTCAGAAAACTGACTTATTTTCCAATTTTAGTTGCCATATATTACCATTCAAAAGTTTGAACTTTACACTGTTAGTATCAAACCAGCGTGTTACGTGTGTAAGATGGATCTGTTGTGATGCTGATACTCGACAACTTTACAGCTTTCCAACAATTCATAGGAAGCTGTAATAAAAGAAATGTTAGATCAGTCTAGAACAATAAACAGAGCTGTAGACCAGTTCTATTGGCTGTAGTGATCCACCAGCTATACTATATAAAAGTTATTAATGGAGTAATGTAACAGCAAATACTAATTTGACAAGTGATTCCAAACTTTTGAACGGTAGCATTACTGAGCTGAACCCCTGAGTAAGGCTGCAGTAGAGTTTGCTCTTAGAACAGTATTCAGGGGTTGTGGCCTCATAAATTCTTTTAAATTACAAGCATTATTGCAAACATCTATATACATTCTGAGCTTTATATACAGTTACAGTACAATCAATCAAAGCCCCGCTGTTCAGACGAGGTAAAAATCTTCTGTGAAAAATGACAGTGTACAAGCAGAGGAATGTGCCAAAACAGTCAATAAAAAATGCAATACACTGAGCTCAAAGGATACATTTACAGTGGTTCTGAAAAAAAATCTTTAAAAGATTCAGTTCATTTATGTAAAGACCTCTAATTGCGTGGTCAGTGCTGTCCACACAGATGTGTCTGGGGTTTGACTGAACGGCCATAGAGCACTGAAGAAGCTGCAGTGTGAAATGCTGTGGACGGGTTCTTCATGCTTTCAGTATAGGGACTTCATATTGTCCTCTTGATATTGACTTCATTTTTTTAATATTGTGACCTCATATTTCCTTTCAATATTGTGACTTCAGATGTTCCTTTTACTTCATATTTGCTTTTTAATATTGTGACTTAATATTTTCAGTGTTCTTGATGAGATTTTCCATTTCCATTTCCATTTTATTGTCCCATTTGAGCATGAATAACATTTATCTCATCTTAAGCTGGACAGGTCAGGGTTCTAGCCCTTGGAAAACCAAAGCTTAAGGCATTTCATGGTTTGGAAAAGTTGTTCACAGTTCTGTGGTATCTTTGACAAAGACAAGACCATCCACTGACCTTGGAGTAAGTACACAAAACTAATCAGTGCCAAATTCTTTGGTCTAAACACTGAACGCTTTAGGAACATTCCTGAAGATCCACACATTCTGGATTACTAGATATTCCAGAGGTAGGTTTTGGAGTTTATCTTTGGGTTTTCTCATGACGTTCCCAGTCCGTGCTGATCCTGCTAAGCTGTGATTTCTATGGCCTCTGTGAGTGCGTGAACTTTGACCTGAGGGTAAGTTTGACCTCCGACTGAAGCCTTTACTCATCTTTCATTTCCTCCTTCATGTCTTCCACTGATTTTCTCTTGAAGAACCCGGCCTGGGAAAAAGCAAAGCACCAATATTACATTACAAACTACGCAAAGGCTACATTTAAATATTTCCAATACAAGAAAAATAATTATGTATTATTTAAATTAATAGATTCAAATAAACTGTGGGGATTTTAGAATGGTACTTACCTTCCAAAGAGCAAAAATAACTAGTGCCAGTATTAGAAGTCCTATAAGAATACTCAGGATTATGATCCACAGAGGAATTCCACCTCGAGACTCTTTAGAGATCTGGACCTTCACCTATAACGAAACATTTAAACAGCAAATCAGTTTACTGAACTGAGCATCTCTAACTACACTGGAAGATTTGAACACGGTTTTGAATCTTTGGCTCTGGCATTTTGTGTATGGATTAATATCTCCTAGTGTATAGAAACATTGTTAGGGTTATTTATGGACTAATATCTCCTATTCTATAGTATAATAATGTTTACTGAGATTATTTATGGACTAATATCTCCTAGTGTATAACAGTGTTTATTGAGGTCGTTTATGGATAATCGTCCCCTATTTTAGTGTAATGGGGTGTTTACTGAGGTAGTTTATGAAGTAATATTTTCTTTTTTTAGTAAATATGTGCATTTATTAATGTTGTTGATGGACTAATATCTCCTATTCTAGTGTACAGAAGTATTTTTTGAGGTTGTTTATAGACTATCTCATATTACAGTGTATAGGAGTATTTTCTAAGGTTGTTTATGGACCAATATCTCCTTTCTCAGTGTATAGGACTATTTGTTGTAAGAGTGTTTGAGTGCAATATCTCTTTAGCCAAGGTTGTTCTAAATGTTACTGTCAGAGTTCAATATGATTATACAAAAGCAGGGCTGTTGAAGGGGTTGTCATCTTACTTACTTAATCTGTTATTCCTGTAGGGTCTGGCCTGAATTTCCTACTGACTCTCAAATACAGAACATTGTTGGTCATTTAAGTTTTTGCAATTTTTCTGTGATGGATATTATTTGGGTGCAGCTATCTTGAAAGAAGTTTATATGAAGTTTTTTCTTATACAAATGAGAATTAAGCCAGGTTTTTCAACTAGTCGCTCAAGCAGTTTTCACACAAAACCAGAGTTTAGATGAGCTTGAGTGACCACCGACGATCAATTTTCAAATTTCATTTTTTTTTTCATTTTTTTTGTCTTACACACGATAAGCTACATCTTATTTCCAAAAAGTGTCCATTGTGCACAAACAGCTTGTAAAATCTCTGCAAAATAGCCCAGACTAATATAATGGGATGCCCTGGAGCAGCTGCACATTCCCAAAGCCCCCCTCACCCCAGCATTGGGCTGTGGAGCTGTGGAGTGATGGAGCTCCATCCAATATCTCTGGCATGAGTTGGAGTGATCCAGAACTGATTATCCAACATCAGTGCTTGATCTCACTAATGCTCAGTCAAATCCTCACAGCAATGTTCCAAAATCTAGTGTAGTCTAGCCTTCCCAGCAGTGTAGAGGCTGTTATTGCAGCAAAGGAGGATAAACTCACTATTAATATTCTCAATTTCAGGGGAAACACTGGAAGACAGGTGTCTACAATTTTTTTGGACATATATCCAACTCCATTTCTATTTTATTAAATCACCCCTTCACTTTATTCCTCATTTTGTTATGTTAACATTGGTTGAATAATTTGTGGCTTATGACAGCCACCTAGTGACAGTACTATAATTTAGAAAATGCTTTTAGTGTTTGCATGGTATCTTAGCCAAATTCCTCCGTAATATATCTCGCACAGATTCAAAACCTGACTTTTGCCAGGTTTAGGCTTAAAGTTAGCATTAATCCTACCCATGCTCTCTTTAGATTTATGTTGTTTATGTTGCTGTGGCTACACTACTGTCACCATGCAGACTGTCCTGGTAATCCACATAGTCCTGATCAATCAGAGCAGTGTATAATTTCTATATTTTTAATAATCAAGCTGACAGACCCTTTAATGCAGGTCTGCAGTTGTTGGGGTTCTGTCTCACCTCTCTGACTTCATCAGTCTTGCTCAGCTGGAAGAGGTCTACGTCCTGGTTCTCCAGCTTCGCATGAACTGTCATGTCGACACTTTTTTCAGAAAACTCGGCCTGTGGAATAAGCATGAAAGGCATATAAGAAACAGACAGCATGCTATATGTTATACTGTATTGAGTGCTTTTCAAACATAACTCAAAAGAGATGAAGGAGGCTGATGATGGAAAGTGATAAAGATGAAGAGCTTACTTTGATGAATGTTGGCATCCAGACTCTGAAGGTGGCATTGATATAACTGCTTTTAGCATCACGGGAGATTGAACAGCTAAATGACTTGCAAAAATTTGCTTCCACTTTACAGTTCTGAGAGAGTGAAAGGAAGAGAGAGTTTGCAGTTTATTTACTTCCATTTAAAGTTAAAAAGTTTTTTCCTTGTCCTGCGAAGGTACAAAGGTGTATGCATATATATAACTTTTTATTTCAGTTTTGCAATATTTAGTATTTAGTTTGTATTCTTTTAATTTATTTTCCATATTCTAAAATATTCCGTATCTGAACAGTTCCCAAAATTTGGAACCGGACCACTGGCAATACAAATGTACCATCTTTTATCCTGCCAATAAAGAAATGTTACAGAAAACATATACTCACCAGCAGATAGTTGCTGAGTGTTTCTGTTTTAGGCTTTGGGGTGTGATGTTTCTGTCGGATTTCCAAAGGGTCGACCAAATTTTTTTTACAGGTGATATTCTAAACCAGAATCAGATTTAGAATCAAAATCAAGTTCAAGCATTTTCTATATACATTCAATTTCTTGTGCATGCACGTACATAAGTACCAGGGGTGGGAATCTCTAGGCACCTCACGATTCGATTCGATTACGATTCAGAGGGCTGCGATGCGATTATAAAACAATTATCGATGCATCTTTTTTTTTCTATACAGGATCTTTTTTCTCACTGTGTGAGGAATTGGAACTTTTAAAGCAAAGTATTTGTAATGATCCATAATGAATTTACTTCCAATATCTTCCATTAATAAAACAAATGGAAGTGATGTGGCAAGTGAACTGGAAGGCTCTCATTCACTGCTCTTGTTTGGAGCATATGAGATGCTGCTGCCACTCATCTTTGATAAAATGCGCAGTTACTGTGAAATAAGATTCTGTGGCAAAGGATGTCCACGCAGCACGTTACAGCTATTCTACCCGTTTTCTTTAGTGATTTTATAACTTCGGTTTTGGTCTCGTTGTAGACAGTGGGGGAATCGCTGTGTCGGTAAAATATCTTCGAGACGGGACGTGTGCAACATAGCGCGAAAGCCCTGTTTCTCAATGACTGATAACTGGCGTGCAGACTGCAGGTCACAGAGCAATACAGACAGTCTCGCCTAGCTAGCTAGTTGCTAACAAAAAGGCAAAGAGAGAAATTTAAGACGAATGGACTTATTCGCATTTATTAGCAGCGCAGTTGGTTTCCTGGAACGTTAAATCTGCAACAAGAGACTGTCAAACACTAAAAAGTTGCGAAGATGGAGTCAGCTTCTCTTTCGAATTTTCCCGTTCCACCTTAAATGGTGCCGTATTTACATTTGCCGCCTCAGGCAGAATTTAAGGTGGAACAGGAAAATTCGAACAAGAAGCTGGAGAATGAGAAGCTGACTTCAGCCTCGGAAAACAGTCGAACATTGAGAGACATTTTACAAGAAACTATTCAACTTTTGAGGAAAAGTTTTCTGGTGGAGTTGGGAGGAAAGTGGCTATAGCTGAGCTAAAGCTTAAAGCAGAGTTTGCGTTTTCGTTTATATTTTGTAGCCTATACTAGGACATCAGCACATACTGAGACATATCGGACATAAAATGTTGTGGCTCCCAATTTGGTTTGATTTTTGTTGAAAGGACAAAATGGCTCTTCTTAACATTTGGGTTGTGACTCCTGACCTAACCTAGCTTTTAATGCAGAGGGTGCCGGTCAGATTTCTCGCTCATCCAGTTGTGTTTTTGTTATGTGCCGCCACAGACTGTCCGGGCGCTGCACCTCCGCATTTCCAAGTTCCGCCTTTTGCGTTCCGCCAACATTACGTTAGAAATTAAATATTTAGAAAATCGTTTTTTGACATTTGTAATCGATTCAGAATCGTTCATGTCCTCCTCGCGATGCATCTAAGAATCGATCCCCCCCCCCACCCCTAATAAGTACAGATAAGAGTTAAAAAGTGACACGCATGGCAGGTCCCACATAGTCATAGTTTACAGGAAAAGAGGTTAGAGCAAGAAGAAAAATGACACTGATAATGACAGGACAGTGTTTACAATGTGAATGCTGTCTAGCTAGTTAAACCTTTAAATGGCCAGGGCCTACCGGTCAGCCCAAAGTTTCATTACACACTTCTATAATTTAAGAAAAGCTTAGACAGTTTGAAGTTGAAGTCCCTGTAGTAACTGAACAATAAGGCTTAGTACACTGTAAAAAATGGCTCGTCCGTACATACATACATACATCTAAACCACTTATCCTTCTGGGTCACAGTGGGGTGCTGGAGCCTATCCCAGCTGTCATTGGGCAGAAGGCAGGATACACCCTGGACAGGTCGCCAGTCCATCGCAGGGCAGACAGACAGACATACACATTCACACACACTCACACCTAGGGGCAATTTAGCATGTCCAATCAGCCTGACTGCATGTCTTTGGACTGTGGGAGTTCCCAGAAGAAACCCACACAGACACGGGGAGAACATGCAAACTCCACACAGAAATGACCCCAGTCGGGAACTGAACCCAGGCCATTCTTGCTGTGAGGCGACAGCGCTACCCACTGCGCCACCATGCTGCCCCGGCTCGGCTGCTCAACCTAAAAAAAATTATGTACATTTTTGAGTTCAATAAAATCAGTTCAATTGCTCTGCTGAGCCATTTTTACAGTGTATGTAATAAGATAGAATTGTAAGGGGTTAAATTAGAAGGATAAACTGCCATGGGAAAAATCTATTACAGTGGCATGCTCTTCATGTTATCAAAATCAAAATTTTTAAAAATCAACTAAATTAACTCTTGGAAAAATTTGCGCTACACTTATTGAAGGAATGCTGCCATTAAATAGCATAAATTAATGCTAATGCAACACACAATAAAAATATTTTAAATTAGCTCACATAAACCTCACATTTTAATGACAAACTATTGTTGAAACTAGTGTTTTTGCCATAGTAGAATGACGTCTTACAGCATCGGGAGGCAGCGAGTCAAGATTTTACCCCAAATCTATTCAATCAGTCTTGTTTGGTGCCTGAGGTTTACTTCCTTAGTTTTGCACTGAAGCTTCAAGGCTAATGTAGATAATTTGTGATGAAGGCATTAGCCACCCAAAATGTACAGTATCTCCCATGTAGCCCAATCCAGAAAGAAAAACTGCAGCAGTATGAGAGCAGAGTGAGAGTGAGAGCTGGAGCGTTCAGAAGTTTAAACACACTCACATCGGATGTGGAGATGTCGGTGAGATAGAGCAGCATGTTATCTGCGGATGTGGAGTATGGGAAGGTGACTGTCAGCTTCAGAGGAGGAGTCTTCAACTCAGTATTTTTCACAATCTGTCAAACACAAACAGAGGGCTCAATTTAACTGACCTATCCATGCTCTGCCTACAATTGACTGCTTTGATAGCTACAGTTATGAGGTTAAATAAGCTTACTGCCATATAAACCAACATTATGAAACAGAAAGGACTTCAATATGCTTCATTATTAAAGCATTCATTACTCATAACAGGCGTTATACATAAAAATCATAGTCGGACTTCAGCTTAGGAAAGGTGAAGAATGGAAGGTCATCTCTGGTTTTCAAGAAATTCCCTCAGCAGCACCTTTTCTATATATGGTCAAGGCTAGACCTTTTACATGCATACAAAATAAAATCATGAAATTAATAGCACTTTCTAAATTTTACACACCTAAAAAAAGATGTTTTTTCAAGGGTTCTTTATTAAGTTCTACATATATAGAACCACACAGAAGCATTTCATGGTTAATTAAGATTATTTTTACAGTATCAAAATAACAAAAAAGCAAAAGGGCCTGAAGCAAACATTTGGGCACCCTGCATGGTCAGTACTTAGTAACACCCCCTAAAAGTAAATTCTTTTGTGGGATTTTCACAAATTTTTTTCTCGCAAAAGTCTCCTAGTTCTGTGAGATTCTTGGTCTATCTTGCATGCACTGCTCTTTTGAGGTCTATTCGTAGATTTTCAATAATGTTTAGGTCGGGGGACTGTGAGGGCCATGGCAAAACCTTCAGCCTGCGCTTCTTGAGGTAGTGCACTGTGCATTTTCAGGTGTGTTTAGGATCATTATCCTGTTATAGAAGCCATCCTCTTTTCATCTTCAGCTTTGTAATGGACAGTGTGATGTTTGCATCCAGATTTTTATGGTATTACATTGAATCCATTCTTCACTGTATCAATGAAATGTCTGCCATGCCACTGGCTACAACACAAGCCCAAAGCATAATCAATACACCCCCATGCTTAACAGTTGGAGAGGCATGCTTTTTTATGAAATTCTGCAGTTTTTTCTCCAAACACACCTTTGTTCACTACAGCCAAAAAGTTCTATTTTAGATCATCAGTCTACAGGACTTGTTTCCAAAACGCATTAGGCTTATTTAGACGTTGCTTTGCAAGCTTCTGACACTTAATTCTGAGGATGCAGGAAAGGTCATATTTGTGTAGATATCACTGTGCAGTAGAACAGTGCACCACCACTACAGAGTCTGATAAAACTTTCTGAAGGTCTTCTGCATTCAAACAGGTGTTTGATTTGCCTTTCTAGAAATCCTACTAGCAGTTCTCTTGGAAAGATCCCATAACAAAAAGAAATATATATATATATATATATATATATATATATATATATACATACATATATGGACATTTGAAAAACATGTCAATTTTTTTTAAAATGTATGGGGAAATATTACACCTAGCAATGTACCGTGCATCATGTACAAAATATATTAAAAATATAACAAGTACATTTTTTCTGCCATTTTGCAAAAATATAAATAAATACATTTGGAATATATTTTTTTCCCACATGGGTTTTCTTGGTGTTCCATACCTTAACTTGACCTCCACCGCTCCTGTTAACTACCATTTCCTAATTACATCATGAGCTGAGGAAACGGCTAAATTAAAAAAAACTCTGCTATCTTCTTAGCCTTCTTCTGCTCTGTGGGCATCAATTACTTTAATTATCAGAGTGCTAGGCAGCTGCTTATAGGAGCCCATTGAAGCTGATTGTTGGGACGAGGTTTGAGGAGTAAGAGGTGCCCAAATTTTTGCATGCCACTGTATGTACATGGTCTGTTAGACAGAAAATCCATTTATACTCTCAGTCCTTCTAGAAACAAAACTAAACAGTAAGTTTTATAGCAAACTAAATATTAAGATTGCTTTTCATCTTCCTATAATCATGTTTTTTTTTCTTACCGCATAGCTAACTTTCATCTCCTCTCCAATCATGCTAGTACTGTTGAAAACATCTGGCCATTTCTCCCCTTCTTTTATGACTATATGATCCTCCTTCATGTACTTCGTGCTATAAAAATAAAGAAGAGTCCTCATTAAAAAATTGACAATGTACTTTTTAATGAGTTTTTAACACTTTTTTTTTTACAGTAAGAACACATTTACAGTAGGAAGTCCTGTATGGCTGTGATAAGCCTGTGGAAAGCTAGCAAAATGCTTTTGATACAAAATATAATATTTTCTTTGTCAGTTTGCAACAACTTAACATGTAAGTATATGCAGATTTATTCACAGGAAAAAAAATTCATGTATTAATATTTGTGCCCATCTTAGCATCAGAGCTACCTTTGGTAATAAAGCCAATGGCTGTGCATTTTCTCCCCTTGTTGTGATGTCAGCTTAGGGCCAAAAAGGTTTCAAAGGAATTAGCACAGAGTTGCTTTGTGGTTACTAAATCTTTGCAGGGACTTTTCTTAACTACATCGAGTGTAACATCTTAAATTTGAAAAGAAGACAGTGTCCCCAGACTTGTGATGGACAGGCAAATTGCACTTACGCAGTGAATTCCAGGCTAGCCTCATACTTCACAGGGATGGATATGTAAACAGAGTTGTCGTCAAGCGCACTCTGAGGTTCTTCGCTATCACTAAAGCAACAAAAACAGTGACGTTATGGAGACCATGTGAAGTTTTGCACTGCGGAAAAACAGCTCTAACAGATAATAATCAGTACAGTACTAGTCGTCTCACCTAGTCGCAGTGATGTTAATGATAATGTCTTTTCGAAGGTGGGAAGGATTGACCTCGAAGATAATCTTCAGCTCTTCCTGTGAAATCAAGAGATGTTTACTTTACATGGCAACTACATCAGTACGTTTTTTTTTATTCTCCGGTTACACGTTTTAAAATTTCATGCCTCAAATTATATTGTATTTAAACAATAACTCTGGTTTGTTTATTTTTATTTATCTGTCAATCATCTGTATATCTACTGATCCACTTGCTTGCCTATCTATCTATCTATCTATCTATCTATCTGTCTACCTATCTATCTAAGGCAGAATTAGTGTAGGTGTGAATGTATCAGATGCAAGTAAATCCTACCTCTATGTTTGATTTGAGGAACGGGTATCCCACTGCACACACCACTCTGGTATTGTTGGGCTCACAGTCTTTATCTTTAGGCTGCAGAGAAAGAAACATTAGGAGTAGAAGAGCGGCAAGAAATACTGTTAATCATTACTGCTGTTGGACAGTTTATATATTGTGTGTAAGACAGATTTATCTGCCTTAGTCTATTAAACTACTGTGTAAATTTGTAGAAATCCATTGTTAGATTAAAAAAGGTCTTGAACTGTCAATTAGATTGATAATTAGCGGGAGAGCTGAATCGTGATCTTGGTGTATTAAAGCGATAGTTTGGCCAAAAATTCAGTTTGCGTGTACATTTTACCCTAAAAATAGCCGATCAGTTTGCATCTTTGGATTTGTACTGGAACTACAAGACTAATATGATTAAATACTCCACTCATGCACATGAAGCTAAATCCATGCCTAAATCATCACACACCTGCCTGAAACCATATGGAGTTGTTAAGGAAGTTGTTCATCTCTACGTCTTGACTTTGTGGTTTCTGACACTGTGTGACACACTGTAACATCTGTACTATTAACAGGAACATCACGTAGCTAAAAACAGTAGCAGCCAAAGTCTGAATTTTGGTGTGTTCAGCTGCGACATAAATGTCACAACTCTGGAACTGACCTCCACTTTGACGTAGTTGATATTTTCAGTGGTGCTCAGCAGGACTCTGGTGTTGTAAGCGCTGTCTCCGCTGTTTCGAATTTTAATGTCGACATGGAACTTCTCCTGGCTGGCTTTGATGATGAGGCTGGGAAAGGCAGAGGAAGAGTCACACTGTAATACTGTAAGGAAACAGCATTAAATAGTACCAACATGCTGAATTATTTGGTTAATGATAAACAAGAACAAATGAAATGAGTAAGAATCTCTCCTTTAAAGCTAATCTTTCCTTCACATTCTGCAAACATGTAGAGTACCAGTGGTTAGATAAGAGGTGACCAGAAATTCTCTTACCTCTGAAGAGTAAGTGTATTATGTTCTTATGTTGCACTGACTAAAACTGAACACAGGGGGGCAGATCAGTATATCAAATGAGGCTAAATCTTATTGTGTCCAAGTTTGGTAATGCTTAATGTTTTGCTGTGCTTTATAAGGACAAAGCATTGTGTATTATTGATGTAAATCACCGGCAGGCTCAAAGTTATATTACACACTTCTATAAACTAAGAATAGCTCAGCCAGTTTGCACTGAAGTCCCTGTAGTTACTGAATAATAAGCCTTAGTAATGTAATAAGTCTAGGATTTTAAGGGGTTAACTGGATTTAATGCACCACAGTATGCAAAATGCTGAATAAAAATCATTGGGTTCACTGTTTTTTTTTTCTCTGTTCCAGCTGATCAGAAAAATATAGTGACGTCGCGTATCATGAACATTTCTTAAGTATCATGATATAGGCTTTCTAACATATTGTCCACCTCTATTTACGCTCCCCTCGTTAGAAACACCTACCTTGTGCTTCCAATTACTGGTCACTTTATTAGGAACACCCACCCTGTACTTCCACTCACTGACTACTTTATAAACTCCACCCACCTTATAGCTCCACTATGTAGGTGTACAGTTACAAACTGTAGACCTTCTGTCGTAGACCTTGTGTGCCCACACAATTTATCAGCCCCCTTACCTTATTCATCATTGTTCACTTTCTGGCCACAGGCCCGCTGTTGTCCAGATGTTATTTGGGTGGTGGCCCATTCTCAGCAAAACTGACATGGTGGTGTGTGTGGTGCTGGTGCAAGTGTATCAGACACAGCTGTGTTGCTGGGGTTTTTGAACACGTCAGTGTCACTGCTAGGTCGAGAATGGCCTTCCACTCAAAAGAGCAGGTCTGTGGTCAGAAAGTGACGGATGATGAAGGGCTGAAAGGATGGCAAACACTAACTGTACATCAACATCAACAGACGATCGATCTACATAGCTAGTCTATAGCTGTACAGCAGCAAGGTGGGGGGTTTCTGATAAAGTGACCGGGGCATTATGACAATTGTTATTATAAGTGAACCATGCATTGCCAAGTGCAGTGAAAGTTCCTTACCTGCTGATGTTCGCCTTTGCTTGAAGATGTAAATTAGCGATGCACTTGTCATTGTTTCCACAGTCCACCAAAGCGATCTGCAGCAAAAGACAGCAATGCTGTGAATGTGTGCAAAGACGAATATAATATTCAGGTATTTACACATTCAGCTCTGACCCTCACACTGTCCAGTGCAACAGCAGCAAGCTTTCACATTCGCCCACTCACTGAAAACTCCTCCGCAGGTCACATACTGTTTGCACATTAACCAAATACGAAACCTAAAATCATCCTGTTTATTCTCCTACTGTCCACTGCTGCTGAGGACAAATCTTTATCAAAAACTCCTCTCATGTTTAGGACTGCTTCTGGAAGAGTGACAAGATCAACAGTGAGAGAGACAGAGCAAGAGAGAGAAAAGAAAGAAAGAAAGAGACAGGAAGAGGGAAGGAAGAAAGACATGACAGACAGAGAGAATGGAAAATAAATAGATAGATACCGAAATTTCACTGTGTGAGAGTATTAGAGGGAAAGGGTGAGTGTCTCCTATACTATACTTCAGAACTACTGTTGTATGTAATCATCACACACATGTCCAGTGCTCCGGATGGACAAGAATCATTTTTCGCTCCTTGAATGGGTGTGTCTGAGTAGGGAAACCTCCAAACTGTGCTGGACACCAGCACTCCAGGACTAGAGTTGTGCATCCCTGCTTTATACAGTGATAAGACAGCAGCACACAGAAAGCTGAACTTTAGGAAATGACGTTAGGCAACATAACTTTTCGGGCGGAAGATTTTCTTTTTTCTCTTTTGGCCTGGCAACAGGGTCGTCGAGTTCATGGGGTTAAATTGTACAAAACATCTCTGATATGTCAGAGGCCTTTTTAGCTCATACATGCGAGATAACAGAGGAATTTTTCATAACACTGCAGTGACTGCTTCCTGTACACTACTTTGAGATGTAAAAATGTGAGCTAACATGTTGTATGTAAAGAATGTAAACTAACAGATATCTTCGTATGAAAGTACGAAGGCAAAGAAAGAAAGTCCCCATAGAAAGTTAAAACTACCCTGCTACTAAATGTCAGCTTGTCCATACATGCAAGTGATTTTCACCACTGCTGTCCAATCTTTGTGTTTTACTTGCTTGTTTTATTTGGGCAATCATTAATGTTGAACCCTGTAGAAAGATAGAGAGAGATAAACAGAGAGAGGTAGAGAGAGAAGTAGAAGATCTGGCTGCAGGAAAGCTCACACTTCCTACTGATAGGCAGTGCGTTAGACACCCAAACACATTTACAAACAAAAAAGCAGTCAACTCTGACCACACTCAGCGTAAAAAGCTTTATATGGTTGTTATATGTGATAACAGTACTTTTTCTTTACCATATCTCTCCACTGACCACTGGTTGCTGACCAACAGCATGTGGTTCACTCTAAACCACTTGAGTTTTTTTGGGAGGGGGTGAAAGAAGCTGTCAGCATTTAAAAAAACTTAAATATATATATGTATAAATCTGGCAGCAAATCGATTTCAGGGGTGCAAAGTGGTCGCTGAGAAAAAAGCCTACATTCCAGATAATACATATCTGAAAAGATCCTGATCTGAATATGAGTAGAGGTTTAGCTGCCAAGGTGCCGCGGTTCTCAGTTGTTGCGTTTTCCGAGTTCAGTGCAGCCAGCGCTCCGAGTATTTTTCCAAACAAAGAGCTTCGTATATATTTCTATATAGAACCTTTTTGAAAAGGGTTCTATATGGCACCAAACAGGGTTCTATTATTGTTACAAGCCAAAGAACGCTTTTTTGATACACTCTTAAAAATAAGAGTGTACCAACCATAGTGCTCAACCAAGAGCACTCAAAGAACCCTTTGCATGATTAAACGGTTTTTGAATCCTGAAATAGTTCTTCAGACTGATGGATAATGTCTTGTGTATGGTTCTATATAGCACCAAAAAGTGTTCTTCTATTGGTATGATTTCAAGCTTGTAACAATAGAAGAACCATTTTTGGTGCTATATACAATCCCTTTCGAAAAAATTCCAGATAGAACCATCTACAGCTCATTCTCCATCAATGTGAAGAACGCTTTCACCATGCAAAAAAAAAACATTTGAGCATGCAAAGAGTTCTTTGAGTGTTCATCGTTCTGTATAGAACCATTTTCTTCTACTCAATTTATGAAGCAGTTCAGTACTGTTTTGTTTTCTTTTATGATCGATAGTTCTAAACGATGCATTGATGCACTGCTATTAAAAACACATTTGAAATAATGTTCTGAGCTTTCTTGTTCTATGCTGTATGATTTTTTATAACTGTTGTATAAAAGCAGTAGAAAGGGAGGTTTTGTGTTACGGCTGTGATGATCCACTGCGACCAGATCCCAGCCGTGATTTATTCACTATAACACACCACACTATCTCTTGTGTTCTGCTTAATTGCTGCCAATCTCCCACTGCATTAATGAATCAGCCAGGTGGAGCTGTATAAGGACTGTGTTGGTTTCCCAGCTCAGGAAAAGCTCATTACAGCGCAGTGTGTGTGGGACAGAAATATTCCCCCAAAGTGCAGAAAATCTCCCGCTTACATGTGAAACACTTAGATAAACTTCATCTTGATGGCTCACAGCTGTTACGCACAGAGGGCATTCCAAGCCTAACGCTAAATTGGTAACATCAGTATAAGGCAAACCAAAAAGCTCTACTAACAGCCTGCATTATGCTGATTGCTCAGGCTGTGGTTAGTGGCACAATTTGCGCAACTGACAGTAAAACCATCAACCCTCACATTGTAATACCTTCCTTAAAGGTGCAGTATACAATTTCAGTCTGATACACTTTTTGTTAAATTCAGCGAGAAAAAAAATCCAGTGTCCATACACAGCCCTGATTCTGTAAACGGAAAATAAACTAAGTAGCTTAGAGAGAGCCACACAACACTATTCCAGCCAGACAGCAACAGGGAGCACTCATACTTGTGCCCATGCTTGAAGAGGACGGGCTCCTTGAACTTCATGCAGCGTCAAGAAAGAGAGATGGCTGGTTTGCAGAGTTTAAACACACTGTATTGTGTGTATACTGTATAGAGCGCTTGACGGCCATGGTCAATAAAGCCATTCCTAGAACGACTGGTGACGATAGGGTGTGGCATATGTTTAGAGGCTTGTGCGTGCAGGGATACATTGTGCTGCAATGTCTGTCATAGCTGTTGGCTATGTTAGGAATGTATCAATCATTTATCCTGTACTTTCTGTACTCATCTAATAAGTCTGATTTTTTTTCCTGGATTTTGTACTGAAATGTCTTGATGGGAAAGGTTAAAGGCAAATAAAAACTTTTGATCACTGAGCTCCACCAGCACCCCACCAGAACAGAAGTCGGAATTAAGTTTACCGTCTTATTAAGCGATGTTGGCAAGTCCCCATCCAGAACTGGTCCATCGTCACTTGCTAACCCAAAGTCCAGAGACACCATGAGTGGATCCCTGAAGTCCAGTCTCTCCTGCAGCACAGAACAGAGACATGGCCAATCTGCCAGACTCTATGAACATATTTCTCCAGCTATAGCTGGAAACGCCTAAACCTGTACATTTACATTAAGCTGGTAAATTGTCAAACTGTAATCAATCTACGAAGCCCCTGAAGGGACATGATGTATTTTTTTTTTTTAGGTAAAAGGGATGTGGTGTATTTTTTTTAGGTAAAAATCTGGTGCGCACTCAATACTATGTGATGAGCACCTGATACTATCAAGTGAGCACCCGATACTATCAAGATATATATTGATAGTACTTGGTAGCACTTGCTAGTACTGGGTGCTCGCCTGATAGTATTTGGTGCGCACCAGATTTTTACCTAAAAAAAATACCACGTCTCTTTAGGAGCTCTGTATCAATTAGATAAGACGTTTGCTTTTTTTAGTTTTATACTGGAGCTATGAGGCTAATGTGCCTAACAATTAGCATGGTGCTAACTGCAGGCCTAAATCATCAAACACTCGCAAAAAGCGTGTGTTGTTCAGTATCTCAAGTAGACGTATGTAGTTTCTGACACTGTATGACACACTTAACTATTAAAATGAACAAAAGTAAGAACAGACTTCATGCTTCAAGATGGCTGCTGTTAGTGTTTTAGCTATGCAAAGTGTTTTTCTCTGCTAAATGGTGGGTTATAGGCTTCCATCATGTCTCATCTACATCAGCTTCATAGGTCTTGAGAAAATTTCAGATGTCAAACATGTCTTAGCAAATCAAATTTTGATTTTCTCTCTGGTGAACTACTGATTTAAGGATACAAGAATCTTTCCTTTTTACATGTATCCTCTTGTCTCTATGGCTGATTCGATGTATGTCCTATTGTGACAGGTGGAGTGGTCCACTTCAGTCCTGTTCTCTGTTGTTTTTAATGGACAGCACATGTAAGCCAGAGATTTAGAGCTGTCATTTCTACCCTGAGCGATATCTACACAGAGAGATATCTACAGAAGAATGCCCTGCTCTTTCTCTGCATGGCCTGGATGTAGTTATACCGTAATTGTGCCCGTCTTTTGATGCCACACGCTCTGGTTCTTGTTTATGAAGGTCTTTGTTACGCTACTTGTCCTGAAAAGATGTTAGGTTTTAAATTTGATTATCTAGATCCCACATGAAAGCAATTAATGCGATATAAATCAGAGTACTTAAGAGTCATGTTTTGGGACAAGAACCTCAGCATAAGAGGGGGAATAAACACTGCAAAACAGCACAGAACACACAAATACCTCTACTGGACCAAGTGGTACAAAGCTGCACTTTAACGTGAAATATTCAGGGAAATGTTTCTTTAAACAGATGATGCTCAGCTCTAAACACTGACACTTTAAAAGTGTTTTCAACAGAGAACTAATGACAGACGAATAGAGCCTATGATAAGGTGTAGGATCATGCAGCCTGCTAGAGTTTTCTTGGGTTATTACATGTTAAAAAAGAACTTAAGCTAAACCAAGATGTGAAGATGTGTGTGTATGTATGTAACTGTGTGACTTTGAACATGTGTGTTTGTAGGCAAGAGTGTGTTTTTGTTGTACAGTTTTGTTTCTGTTGGACAAAATATGTTCCTTTTTCACAAAAGCTCCATTTTAAAAAACATTTTTTGGTTCCTGAGGATAAAATAAGACTTAGGTTGTGATTAGGCTTAGAAAATTCATATTACATATAAATACATTCACAAACATAATATGTTTGGGACATAGTACTATTACATATACAGAACTCCAAAATTATTCATTTAATTTCCAGTCAAACCTGACCTTAAGTACAAGTTATTTGTTTTTCAGCATCAGGGAAAAAAGCAGGAAACATATCGACTAAAGTCTAATATCAGCTGTTTGAGTGTTCAGTGTGTCACTCTTTACCTTTATTACAGTTTCCATTCTTTTCTGGAGACTCACTTTCAGTTTCTCACAGAAATCTGCAGACACACCTCCAAAGTTCAGTCTTAGAAGTTGGTTGATCATTTTCTGAAGCAATCAAACACATTCAGTGATGTTGAGGTCTGGACTCTGGGGTGGTCAGTCCATTGTTCAGCTTCTTTTGATGTGTCTGCCTCCTTTTCTCAGTGAGGCTTCTTGACAGCTACACATCCTTTCAGACCCATAGCGCTGAGTTGTCTTCTCACAGTGGAAGGAAGGACAGAAACACCTGTGGATGTTTTCAGATCTGAAGCAGCTTGATTTTCTCATCTCTCTCAAAGATGAAAGCTTTAAGTGTTGTTTATCTGATGGGGGCAGTTTTGGTTGTCTACCAGGTCTTCCAGGTGGTTGTTAGGAATCACATTTTTAACAACAGTTTTCGAAACTTGTTTTTTCACTTATTTTCTTTTGACTTTCTCCTTCCGTATGCAAGTCCATCTTGTATCTAATCTCTTCACAAATTTCGCCTTTAAAATTAACTGGTACATAATGGCTGTTTTGACTGGAAATTAAATAAATGAAGGATGGCCTCTGACATTTGTATGGGACATATCTATGACCTCACATTCTGATACTGTATAAAACTGTGTGTGTGCGTGTGTGTGTGTGTGTGTGTGTGTGTGTGTGTGTGTGTGTGATTTTTAGGTGTGATTTACTTGCCGACATGTAGAAGGAATGATTAGTGCATAGATGGTTTTTGATGGTGGCATTTTTCTGGATTTTTCTGTCATCCGTGTCTTTAAACCTCCCTCTGGCGATCGCACGCAGAGAGTCTAGCGTCAGGTTGTAGTGGATCACTGCGCACAGACAAAGAGTGAGAATGACAGAGACACAGCGTTACAGTTGCTGATAATAATTCAACTATGCTTTAAAGCAATAATTCTAAAGCATTATTACATTTATAAAAAATAAATTATTTTCTCCTCTTATTCAAAATACAGTTGATCAGCCAAGGCATGTTTGGTGTCTGAAATTACTTTTAGCACTGGAGCTCTGAGGCCAACGTGGCTAACACTTATTTATGAGGCTTCTGACACTGTTATTTATGGGTAACACTTTATTGTAGGGAGCTGTTCATAAGGCTACATGACACCTACATAAGCTGGTCATGACAACTGACATAACCCTACATAAATGTTTGTAAAAGCTTATTCCATCTTCCATAAAGGCTACTTTAGCTAATTGATCAAAATTAGCAAATGTAGCCATTATAGTGAATGACACATTGGAAAAAGCCTGTATGAACATTTATGCAGGGTTATGTGGGTTATGTTAGTGGTTATGACAAGCTTATGTAGGTGTCATGTAGCCTCGTGAACAGCAATCTATAGTGAAGTGTTACCAAAATATGTCACTGCATGTCTTTGGTGTCAATAACCAAATAAGTAAGTTCTACAGTTTTAAACAAAAGTCTGGGCACCCTTGTGTCGAGCAGACCTTTTGCATCAACCATAATAAAGATTTTTTTTGCTTACCTGTAACTGGATTTGTCTCTTTCTCAGACTTTACTTTGTATGTGAAACACACTGTCGTCCTCACACACACCATGTCCCTTCCATTGATCTTACACGTCTGCTGCTGCAGGTTGATCTTGTTCGGGTCGAAGGTCATGGTCGCACGGAGCTCTGCAACATCCCGCGACCTAAAGCACAAAACCACAGCAGCAGCAGCTTAGCTAATGATTCAGAATGATTTTGAACGAATCAATTCGAGGGCTAACTCCAACATGTACGAGTCTTAAAAGGAGCTAAAATATATTCCCATTTAGAGGGATGAATTTGCCTGGGTGAGCTATGATGAAGGAAAACAGATGATTCATGTTCCTGCCATGCACACCCTAATCTGGCTGAGAAGTAAGCAGCTACGTTAGCTACCAAATTAACCATCAAAGCACATGGCTTGACTACATAATATGCTGTAAATGTGCTTTTTTGATCATCTTAATTTTATACTGAGTTATTAAACTTTTTTCCATGGACAACGACTTTGCTTTGGATAAGTAATGTGGATTTATTTGTCTTTAGGACAAGGCCCCAAAAAATGTAATGCAAAGCCAGAATAGAATAGAATAGAATAGAATAGAATAAATATGGTTTACGTGTTAAATTCTTGCTGGAAAATACTGCTCTAACACATAGAGGTTTGTTATACCGTATTATAGAACAGCAGCTGCTGATCACAAACTGGTTTTAGGCCAAAGGAGCTAAACTCCCATCCAAACATTCCTCTGATTTTAACATTGAGGTCAATCACTGGCTAAAGGAACACTCCTAATGGACTGGGTGGAGGAACAGGAAGTGATAGATGGTGAAGGTCGCCAGTTTCCGTGGCTCTGCTGGGCCATGCAGCTGCTCAGTCTGATCTCTTCTACAGCTTCACTCCAAAGCACTCTGAGAAAGGAAGTGCAGCTCAGTTCCTCAGTTTGCTGTCAGGCTCCAGAGAGTGAGATACTTTTGTGCAGTTCGTCAAGAAAAGGGTCATACTAAATACTCTGCAGTTTAGGATCAGATCCACTGACCATCCTCAGATTCTACTACCACCACCACCACCACATCAGTTTCACTGCAGTGCTGAGAATGATCCACCACCTAAATAATACCTGCTCTGTGGGGGTCCTGTGGGGGTCCTGACCATTGCAGAACAGGGTAACAAAGTATGCAGAGAAACAGATGGACTGTACAGTGCTCCTAATATAGTCAGTGAAGCTAATTTAATGGAGAATGAGTACAGAAACAAAAAGGTGGTTTTAATGAAGTGTGGCCAGTCAGTGTACGCTGTCACTGTTGGAACAAAATCTTGTATCTTTAAAGAAGTAACTTTTAAGCAATTTTTAAGCATTTCTGTTTTTCCATTTATTATGAAATTGTCACAGTTTGAGGGGAGCTGCTGTTCTCAAATGTTGAAAATTAAAAATTGGAAAATAATGCTGACCCTCTCTTCGTTTTTGCTGCCAGCCTGTATACTGTCTGTTGTACACTACCTGCTGTAATGACAGTGGGTGCTGGATTGTACATTGGATTGCAGCTGAAAACCAATAAAATCCTAAAGTATTTCAAAACAATATAAAATGAGCTACTTATGAATATGGTGTTTGATTGGGACCGAAGAATCTGTGATACAACATTAAACAATATGAAACAATTTTATCAGTCAAAAGACATATCAGGTCCTGAGTCCTAATCCATACACTCACACAGAGGAAGACTCACCAGTAGAGTGCAGCTCCTCCTATTCCTCCAATAGTGACGTCGATGATGCCATCATTATTCAAGTCCATGATTCCATGAATGGACTGGCCAAAGAACTTCATCTTTTCACCATCACCTCCAGCTGCTATTCGCTACACACACCACACACACAACAAACACTCTGATTGGTTCTCATCACTCTAACACAAGAACTTAGCAACTACTTTGTCCATGACTAGATACCATGCAGGGAATATTACAAATGGAAATAATGACTTATGCCTTAAGAAAGAGGGACAGTTAAACAAAACAGGGTAAATGGAAAATGTCTCTAAATTACATCATTTAGATTATATATTTTATTTGAATAACGTAACACAATTATACATATGCCTGTGAACATTTAACAGTGATTAGTACATTGTACACTGTACAGTGCTGTGAAAAAGTATTTGCTGCATAGTCCAGCTGCACTTGAGCTTTCGGTCACTAACTGATAGATAAATGTTTTTTTGGCAAACGAGAGACAAGCCTTTGTGTTCTTTTTGGTCAGCAGTGGTTTGTGCCTTGCAGCTCTCCCATGGATGCCATTTTTGCCCAGTGTCCTTAACTGAGGCAAGTGAGGCCTGTGTTTTTTTAGATGTTCGTCTGGGTTCTTTTGTGACGTTCTGGGTGAGTTATCGACATGCTTTTGGTGAAATTTTGGTAGGCCAGCCTCTCGTAGGAAGGTTCACCACTGCTCCAATTTTTCTCCATTTGTGGATAATGGCTGTCTAATGAACTTGTTTTGCATCTGTACTTGAATTTCTTTAGAATGTGACATCGTGTGCTGCTTTTTGAGACCTTCTAGCCTGCTTCACATTGCCAGACAGGTTCTATTTAAGTGATGTTTAGATTCAATGGGTCTGGCAGAAATCATGTCTGGGTTTGGCAGTGAAATTAAATCCAAAAGTCAATTGAATTTGGTTAACTGGTTGATTTCACATAGGGTCAGGTAAGGCTGAATAGCAATTTTTAAAAGTAGTTTGATGATCTGAGACACTCAAGTATCACAAATTTGCAAAAATAGAAGAAACTGGGAAGCGGCAAAAACTTGTTCACAGCACCGTGTAGATGCTTGTATATATGCTGTATTTAGTCCAAAAAAAAGACCAACTAGTTTCTACCTGCACGTATTTCTCCCGTATTGACCGCTGGTTGCCATGGTAGATGTACACCGCCCCCCTGTGGTCGTTCTCCAGCGGTGATCCAATTACCACGTCGTTAAAGCCATCCAGGTTGAGGTCGGGGACGGCAGCGATGGCTGTGCCGAATCGGGCTCCACATGGCTCGTTTTTGTTCACACTGGTGCAGGAGTGGGAGTGGGCAGTGCAGCATGTCTGCTTTACCGGCCGCAGGGTCATCTCATGCTCAAACACACCTTCCTGCGGATACACACATTTACACTCAGACTCAGACTGAAACAGCACTACTGGAGCCGGACTAGTTTTAGCAGACAAAGTGAGGTAATGTAATTTGTGGGATTTGGTTGGCCGACTGGTTTGGGATAAAGTGTCTATTTTTTTTTTCATACTGAAAGGACACAGCACAGATGACCACTTCAGCATAACTCTACAGGACACACCTAAAACAATAACAACGCTTTGCATGGCTGTGTCTATTAGCAGCTTTGGATATTCCATTAGTGTGAGGTGGCTTAGAATAGAACTACACTCATAAAAAAGATGGTTCTTCAGGGGTTCTTTAGTAAAGACAGTGGTTTTATATGGAACCATGAACACTCAGAAGAACCATTTGCATGCTTAAAGAGTTCTTTGCATGGCGAAACGGTTCGGCCACCTCCAGCATCATATGGATTTATTAAATTACATCATCAGCACATCTAATTTAACATTATGAAGAACTGATTAGCCAAACCAATTATTGATATTGAACGTCTGGAAATGGTTAAACAAACACTTAAGATACATAAAACATTTTTATCGGAAAAATGTACACACACACACACACACACACACACACACACACAATGTACCTTACTGATCTTGTAGACATAGACTTGTCCCTGTTCGTCTCTCTCTGGGCCCATATACATCGGAGCTCCAACCAGCAGAATATCTGTGTAGGAATCATTGTCAACATCAAGCGTCTGGAGAACGCTGCCAAAGTACGAACCAATCTGAAAGATAAGAGAAGAGACTAAATTAACATCAGCACATTTACCTGTTCATATTCCTCTGTATTTACACTGCTTCTGGACCATATTAAAGTCTAATCAGGTTTATTTAGAGGAAAACACTATCATGATTATATCAGTGTTACTTTATGATAATTAAACCTTCTTTACTTCATTTTTCTTACTTCAGTTAAAAATGAAACAGTTTAGGAAAGCGAGAAATCTTAACACTTTTTAATGTGCAGTGTTTCTCTAAAGCATCACGGTGCATTAGGTACCTGCTCTCCTTTCAGGTTCTGTGTAATGTTGATGTTTTTCCCGTCGAAGCGGTAGATGCTGACCCGGCCGGTGTGGTTGAATCTCGGAGCTCCAGTGATGTAAAAAACTCCAGAGGGTGTGTACGCTGACTGAACATCATAACCTTCGTTCAGATAACAACAAAGCACAGTCACAAACATTCCATCAACACAGTAGCCCCTCTGACCTCAGATTCCAGCTACGACACTAATGCAACACATCTGGAGTTTAAAGGGAATAGTTCAGCAAAAATTAAAGTGTACTTGGTTCCAAATTCCAAATGCAGTTCATCAGCAAGGTTTGGCTTTTTGAAGTTTCCTTCTTTAGTTTTACAGTGGAGCTTGGAGGCTAATACTCCAATACTACACCAATTAGACAACAATATATACACAATTCCAGCTTCAACATGACTGCTACTCCTGTGTTTAGCTAAGTGATGTACTTTTGTTATTTATAGATAACAGTATGTTATCCTTGTTATTCGAAGCAAACTTCACGACACCAAAAAGTCTTGGCTGACCACATTTGGCACAAAATAAGTGTATCAATGAGGTTTTTTTGCAGAACTTTCACTTTAATTTATTATTAATGCTCTGGAAGGCATAAACTATTTCATTACTCATGCAGGGTTTAGTCACGTTAGAATGAGCTGAGCTAATGTTTTCTCATTATTGACGAGTTATTGTTACGGATTGTTTCAAAAACTCTCCTCCATGCAGCTTGTCTGCTTCAGACGCGTTTTATTAAGCAGCATCACTCCCACTCTCTCTGAGGAACGCAGCAGGGACATCCTTAAAAGGGGATGTGTGGAGGGCTGGGCCGTTTTTCGCTGGGAGAAGGCGCGAGTGTTTATGGGGAACACAGCAGAGCCTGACGCTCTGTTTAGACTGTGTTTAGACTGGGACCGGCTCTCATTTATAACAACAGCCCTGTTTCTTCGCTTGTCTGAATAATTATCACAAAGATTATGGCTGCCACATTCAATCTGTGACCTTTCGTTATTTACAAACCCCTGTCCGGAAAGCTTATGGAAGAGTAGAGAGCAACCCGTCCATTAGACGTCCTGTTTGGTGCTGTCACCATAGTTTCCACTGGCATAGCGGCTAACCAGATCCGCCTCTGGTTATGTAATGTCAGGCATGCATTGACTTTATGCATCGGCAGCTGCAGCGGCAGCAAGGATAACAGGGCTGCAGCCACCACTGACGAGCTGCCCTCTCGAAAGAGAGGCAACAGATAATGAGAGATTGCAAATGATTATAACAATATTCATATAGGATAGTTAGTAGGGCTGTACGATATGGACATAAAGTGTGGTATTCGATAAAACTCTTGGGTGGACTTAGTGATTTGAGGCAAAACAAAGGAATGGGACACATATTTTGGATGTACAGTTTTACTACACTGTAAAAAATGATATCTGGGCAAGTAACATCATCTTAAATCCAGACGTTATATCTAATATTTCTCATTTTGAGAAATTTCATTCTAAGATTGATAATATAAACCTTTATAATGTAAGTGAATGGAAATATTTAATAATAATAATAGTAATAATAATTTGAGCCCTTTTCAAAGTCATTATAATAACAATAATATTTTAACATAAAATATAATATTTGGCATTTTTATTTTAATTAAAACTTAAATTAACACCCTAAAAATCTAATTACTACAGCAGGCTGTTTCAGCTTTTATTTCCTATTTTCTTTATATCAGTAAATTCATTTGCACATGTGAAATTTGAATATTAAATATCAACTAGCAAAAAAAAGTTTTTATATGTCAATGTGTTAATTGTCATTTTTACATGTGTAATTTTCAAGTTCATTTGTAAATTGAAAAATGCTATTAAAAGCTAAAACTACCTAATAAAATCAGTTCAGACATAATAAGAATCTCAACATGTCAAATTACTCCATACACAAGACGGAGATTCACCCAACATAGACTCTGTTGCAGGAAGAAGGGGCTGTTTTAATTACAGTGCCAGTTACATCTGCTGATCTGAAATTCTGTTTAAGTGAGTCTTTTTTCTCCTCTCTGCACCAACAGCAGCAGTTAGGTTTGCCGTGCTGCTCCATCCAAACAGATCAAAATGTGTATTTTAAATAGATTGTTCAATCAGCTGAGAGAGTGAACGTGTGATTTGTTTCAAGTGTGACGTTTAAAAATACATCATTTAATTTTAATTTAGAAAATATCACTTAATCCACATTGGCTTCTAACAGGTAAAATTACCGTCAGTGGTTCAGGCATTTTTACTGCGTCGTGTTTTGAATCAATACTGCAATATTTCAGTAAGATAAGAGTGCAGCCACACCTCACATCGCAAGTTGTAAAACTAACTGGTAATCCTCGGTTATGAATGAGCAATCATGTTACTGATACGCTATTTGCTGTCACCATCACGGTGAATATGGCGCTGAATTTTATGAATCTGGTACAATACTAGGTGTGAAAATAATACTACTGTGTGATGCGTTTTTACAAACGTGTAGTTCAGTATGGAGGAGTGTTTGCACTGCGCACATGTTTGTCTTTTTAATCGGCTGTTTAGCCTAATGGTTAAGTTACCGGTCCCCAACGTGGGAGAGTAGAGTTCAATCCCAGTAAAGAGAAGATCTCCTTAGGCTTCTAGCGGTTTTTGCTGGTAATGGAATGTCATCTCTCCGGGGTGTGTGTATGAGGTAATTTGATCTGTTTTGTCATAGCAGCTCTTAATGAAATCATATCACTATAAAAAATAAAATAGGATTTATCGTGTAGCCCTAATAGTTAGTGCTTTATTATTATTTTATCAGCAGATATTCTCCTAATTAACCTTAATCATGAAGACTTTCATGCTCAATTTTGAATATGGATCCAGACAGAGCCTTCTGTCCATACTCTGCATTCATTTTGTCCATATTTGTGCACAATCTCTCTAAAAGCTTACAGATATGGACGAAATGGAGCAGTACCACCAGAAATTGCACCGGCCATTAGCTTAAGCACTGTCGCTAAGTATTTAATGGCCTGACAGATCACCAGCATCTACAACGTTGCCTCTTTAATCTCTTTCATAGGAGATACATAGTAGGTAATTTATTACGACCTCCTACACCATGTCTCCGTGTTTGCTGCTGTCAAAAACCTTTGACTCTAGATTGCCCTCTAGTGGATGTATTGCTTAACATCAATGCCAACAAAAAGGACACATGGAAGTGTGTGAGCAGTGACGGTTACATCAATTGAAACTGACAGGTTTATTTTCGTACATAAACATAGTATAAATGAACCTTAACATGAATGGTTTTCCTATGTGTTTATTATTTTTATAATGAGCTAGCTAATGTTAGCAAACATTAACATTATCCTGCAGTCAGCCAGTTAATCATGTGCTAATCATTTTGAGAGCTCTGAATGCAAAGCACTAGTCCGAAGTAGATCATATTTATAAGTGTGTGCTGGTGTGTGCATCCAGGACGTACCCACATATCCCGCCATGCCCTCGTATTTCTGCACCAGAGGGTTGTGGAAGGTGTTGTTTTTGAGCACGGTGAAGCTTTTTCCTGACTGCATGACGACAGTGCCATTCCAGTCATATGCTCCAACTGCCCCCAACATCACACCCTCCTACAGAACAGGACAAATAACACAGTTCCATTTCAGTTCAATTTATTCCAGTCTGGGTCACTTCAGTTAACCTATCCTTGCTCCCATCAATATGGTCTTTTGAAGCTACTGTTGTGACATTGGAAAAGCTTTACAGAACACTAGGAAAAAGTTTTTAGGGATAAACACCCATAATCTCACTGGTGTTCAGCTGTTTTAATGTTGCTAGATGGCTAAACTTGTATTTAGAGACGCGAAAAGTAGGGGTGCTGATGATGTTGCAGTCCCCCTGATTTGAGGATTGCTGTTAAAAATAATAAGTTAAATATTCTGAACTTTGTAATAATTTCAGCATAGTAAAGACCTATGTGTGCTTGTTTTAGAGTGGAGTTTTTATTATATTTTACTTATACGGTTTTAAAACCTGCAGTAGCTGCAGTGTTTAAGTGAATGCTGTATTTTCATCACAGTGAGCCAACAGCTGTAGGCCGCTTTGGGCCATGTCGTTCAAACACACACAGGTTGAGGTGCAAAGGAAGAAAGCCTATGTAGAGAAATAGGACAGTTCTGAGCCCCAAAGCAGCCTGATATTTATTTGTTTTTTTTTAATCATCTAGCATAATAATTAAGCTTTTCTTAACTCTCATATCTCCCGCTGTGTGTGTATGTTTCAGTGTTACATCTCAGTATGTGTCTGGTGGCGTCATACAATCGGTTACAGTGTCACATATTAACAATCTGATTGGTTTAGCTCATTTGCATTAAGTCCGTTCAGAACTAGAAAGCAGAGTGAGGATGTGCATCACCAGTTTTTAGATGTTCTTGTCGCCTCTCGCATCATTAGCTTTGGCACTACATGACACACTCTGTTTGATGCAAATTAGCAAAAAAATTAAAGAAACAAAGGCTAAACATTTTTGTATGATGTCATCAGTCTCGTTATACATACGCTGCTTAAATTTTCAGCACCCCAAACTTAAAACACCTTCCCATGTCCCTGCTTTTATTTATCTCTATTGTGGTCAAAGAGAACTTTGACTTTTTAAATATATATTTAGCTTACAGTGACATGCTGTTACACTTTCTGTTTTTACTAAAATATCAGTAAATGTGGCAAATGTACAATGAAGAAAAATATTGGCACAAAATCCTTTAGGGCAGTGGTTCCAATCCCTGATCCTGGGTTACCATCTGCACTGCACATTTTAGTCATAGCTTTTGTTAGCAACATTAAAATGGCTTACTAATTTTGGGCTAATTATTTTGGCCACTTCATACATTTACAGAATAGGATTTATGCTTTACATTAAGGACTCAGTCTTCTTTTAAGTTCTAAACTCCTTCTAAAAGACCTTTTCGGACTCACTCTAGACATTTTAGACTGTAGAGTCTGCAAATCCTACACATTTTGAACTGAATGAAACTTACTTTAGATGTGTGAACACTGAAGCCGGACTGAGACATCTCCATCACAAACGAAGAGGCGCGGTTCCAGGGTGTAGCTAATGAACAAATTAAAATCATAGTGAGATTACTGTCTGTAATAATGGGTTACAACTGCACTGACATCATATAGAACTGGATCATAACAAATCCCTAAAGCATATTACTGCATACAATTTCAATTCTATGCTATGGATTCTTCCTGTTTTCCTTAGAAAGACACTAAGCATTATTTGTTTTCATGAATGCAAATACCATTTACCTAACATCTTAATATATATTCACACACAGTTAACAACATTCTGGTCTCACTAAGCCATGCAGTGTTAAGAAAACATTTATCAATAGGTCAGTTACCCTCTAAAGCAAAGATCTTCTCCCCTAGAGAATCAACAATGTTGATCAGGGCTGCCTCATCCGACACATTGAAGAAATGATCCTCTTTTCTGTCACTTGCAATGAACTCGATTTCCTCAATGAAGTGTTTCACTTGATCAAGACTTTTATTTTGGCGGTTATAATCACCAAGCACCTGCAAATAAATACATATTCAAAGTCAGAGCATTACTGTTAGCTGAATGCTAAACATATTGTCGCTGTCCAAAAAAAACAAGCCTTTTTTGTGATCATCAAATATGATTGAAATGAGATCTCTTTACATCTCTTGGCTTACATTAAAACATTCTTGCCCTCTCCTGTAAAGTTATCGTTTTGGAGATACTTGTTTTTTTTTGGACAGCGACGATATGTTAACATTGAGTGATGTTAATTAAAAAACTTTTTCCAAAGCAACATATTATTCAGTGTTATGCAACTTATATAGCATGAGCATGTTTCATCAGTGGATCTCAACCCAGGGGATCCCAGAATTTGCATTTTTGTTTTTCATTCAGTTCAGCTTCATTCAAGTCACTCTAACACTGGTAAAACAAAAAAATCACATTTACCCAAATTTTAACTTCAAATATAGTCAAACAACCAAGACATTTTTAGTAATCTTATTGCTTGTTAGCTACATTAGCCTCGTAGCTCCAGTGCAAAACTAAAGAAGCAAACCTCAGACAGCAAACATGTCTTGGCTGATCAACTACATTTGTATTTTTTGTCAGACTGTGGTTTTAAACCCCGTATAAGGCAGAGAATAGAAAAAGGACTCACAGCAATGGAGAATCTCTCAATCCCGTCTTTTTGACAGTCCTCAATGACTCTTTTCAGATCGTAGTTGTCGTGTGACTCACCGTCTGTGACGATTACCATGACCTTTTTGACACCTGGCCTCGCCCCACGCTCCTCCGTAAAAGCCTCCTTCCTGCCAATGGAAAACAGCAAAAGGTCAGAGATCACTGAAGTACTGGGTTGGTGAGCACTTCAAGCCCAAAGGTCCACCCCCCAAATAATATCTGGTCAGCAATGGTCTTATAGAGGTCCATTTTTCTTGATGAATGGGGGTCTGATTAATTGCAACAGATTGCTACAGTCTGTAACTGAACACCAGTTAAACCGGAGCATGAGAGCAGCAAAGCATGCTTATGGTCAGAAAATCCAGAGTCACTTCACCGACTCAAAAGACCCCAGGTGACCGTGACAAGGTACCCAGTCCATCACAGACTACAGGTCCCCCTCCACCACCACCCTGCAATGACAACATCGACTTCCTCAACACACTCAACACCTACTTCAGCCAGTTTGAGGAAAAGAATATTACCACAGTAACGAAAGCTTCTCACAGTCTGGATGATGAAGTACTCTGTCTCTACCCAACTGACGTCCAGAGGACATTACACATGGTCAACCCACGGAAACCTGCAGTTCCTGACAACATACCAGGGTGTGTACTCAGGGAATGTGCTGACCAACTGACACATGTCCTCACAGACATCTATAACACCTCCCGGAGCCAAGAAATTGTTCCCTCGTGCTTCAAGGCCACTACTATCATATCACTGCCAAAGAAGTCACCAGTGAGTCACTCAATGAGTACCGCCCTATAGCACCCACTCCCATCATGATGAAGTGCTTTGAAAAGCTGGTCACAGACCGCATAACATCCAGACTCCCGACAACACTCCAGTTTGCATACCGCTCTAACTGCTAGCAGCATTTCACCTGAGTCTGGCCCATCTGGAGAATAAGAACAGTTATGTGCAGACACTCCTCCTTGACTTCAGCTCCGCCTTCAATACAGTCATCCCCATGCACTTGGTAAGAAACCTTGGCCCATTAGGCATCGACACCCCACTATGCAACTGGTTACTGGACTTCTTCACAGACAGACCCCAGACAGTACGAGTGGGAATAAACACCTTTAAAACCATCATCGTGAACACTGGAGTTCCCCAGGGCTGGGCGCTAAGCCCTCTGTTGTTCAGCCTGATGACTCAAGTACAACTCGAACCACATAATTAAGTTTGCAGATGATAGAACAGTGGTGGGCCTCATCAGCAACAATGACAACTTGGTCTACAGAGAGGAAGTGAACCAACTCGTTGCCTGGTGTGACAAGAACAACCTGTCACTGAATGTCGACAAGACAAAGGAAATTCTTGTTGACTTTAGCAGGAAGAACATGGTACGTATTCCACTTACAATCCAAGGTAAAGCTGTAGAGTCAGTGAGAAGCACAAGTTTTTGGGAGTGCACATCACAGATGACCTGACATGGACTACACACTCCACCTACCTTGTCAAGAGGGCACAGCAGTGTCTTCACCTCCTATGCTCCTATCCTCACAACTTTCTACTGAGGCACTATAGATAACATCATGACCAGCAGCCTCTCAGTGTGGTATGGCAGCTGCACGGCCGCAGACCTGAAGTCCCTCCAGAGAGTGGTGAGGACAGCAGAGAGAATCGTCATAACCACACTTCCGTCCATACAAGATCTATACCTGTCACGCTGCCTCAGCAGAGCCACTAAGATAGTCAGAGACCCCACCCACCCTGCCCATGGACTGTTCAGCCTTTAGGTCGCTGGCAAATGCTACTGATGCATGCGGTGCAAAACCACCAGACTCAGCAAAAGCTTCTTCCCACAGGCCATCAGACTACTCAACTCCATCGAACAATACAAAACATGCTGGCCTATCAGGACTGTTGAACCCCTGAACATACACACAGACTGTCTGAAGACATTTTTTGGAACTCATGTCTTCTATCTTAAAAGAAACAGCTATTTTTTGTGCAGTCATGTAAAGAATTAAGTACACCCCATGAAATGTTTCACTTTTTTGACATATGTGGACCTATCAGTATTTGATCGTCAGTTAAACAGTATGTGTATACATTTTGTAATAGAATAAAAAACAATACAAATTAGATTTTGCAATGATTTATTTAAAAAAAAGCCTAAGTACACCCTTGGCTTCAGAAAGCGGTATGGCTCCCTTTGGCAGAAACAAATTCATGTAGAAATTTCCTATAACTGTCTACGAGATTATGACATCTATCTGGGAGAAATTTTTGCCCATTCCTTCAAGCAGAATTATTTTAACTGTGCAATGTTTGAGGGGCTTGCATGTAATCATCCTAGGATTTCAATGGGATTCAGATCTGGGCTTTGACTTGGCCATTTCACAAAACCTGCATTTCTTCCTTTTACATTTACTTGTGTATTTGGGATCATTATCCTGTTGGAAGGTCCACTTCTTCAGCTTCAACCTTTTTTGCAGATGGTCTCACATTCTCCTCAAGCACTTTCATAAAATGATAGTCGATTCTATGACCGCAAGTTGGGCAGGCCCTGAGGCAGCAAAGCAGCCCCAAACCGTCACACTTTCACAACTGGTGTGAGGTTTTCATCAAACATGGCTTCTGGTACTGTGGCCAAATAACTCTACCTTTGATTTGTCTTTCAATGGCACATTATTCCAGAAGTCCAGAACTTTTTCTTGCCTAGATATTCTTTAGCAAACTGTAGTCTCATTCCGATGTTTTTTTCCTCCTAGTGTAGGAGTCTGCAACGTGTGGCTCCGGAGCTGCATGCTGCTTTTTTACTGTCCTGTTGCGACTCCACAGCAGAATTAGACTTCTAGGTAAAAATAAAATAATCCTCCTTGGCAATAAAATAAAGCTCTACGAATCGTTCTAATGCAGTTTTAACAATAAATGGTCTTAAACACTGGAGTTTATGTATAATTGCTAATTCACCCTTTAACCCCGCAGACTGCTGGCCACACAGCAACAACAACAATCTGGCCTAGCAAGTAGCTAATGAAATGGCAAAGTGAAAGATTTAAGACAAACATCGATAATTTGAAGACGAATGGACTTATTTGCATTTATAAGCACTCAGCTGGTTTCCTGATATGTTTAATATGCAACGAGAAACTGTCAAAAACTAAAAAGTCACGAGGCTGAAGTCAGCATATCATTTTATCGTGGTGCAGCAGTTACATTGTGGCGCATCAGGCACCATTTAAGGTGGAACAGAAACAAGAAACTGGCAAATGAGAAGCTGACTTCAGCCTTATAAAAAAATCTAACGTTAAGAGACATTTTACAAGAAACTATTTACTTTTGGAAAGGTTTCCTGCTGGAGATGCGAGAAAAGCGGCTATATTTTTTAGCACTTATACTTTAGCACATACTGAGAAATATTTAAAGTCAAGATGGTAAAAGTTACTTCAATAAAATGGACATAAAATGTTGTGGCTCCCAAGATGGTTTGATTTTTGTTGAGAGGACAAAATGGCTCTTGGAGAACCGAACTCAGGCCCTTCTTGCTGTGAGGCGACAACACCACTGTGCTGCCCCACAATGAAATCAGTGTGGACGTATGAATGATGTGGAAGTAAGTAAAGTGTAAATAAAAACAGAAAGCAATGATTTATAAACTGTGCTTTACAAGTATTTAATTGAAAACAGTACAATGCAAGATATTCCATATTCTAACTAATTAATTTCATAGATTTTGTGTGGCATCGTAGTAAAAGAGCGCAGACGCTAGAGTGTTTTGCCTGCAGTCCACATCTGTCTTGCTGTCTTCAGTTCCCAAACATTTAGTGAATGTTTTTTAAAAGGAAAGGTGATGTAACACAGTGGTAAACAGGCCCCTGTCTCAACCTTTTTGGAACGTTATAGACATCAAATTTAGAATAAGCGTGCATATACAAACATAATAGTTAATTAGATAACCATTACATATTTTTATCATTACACGTCTTTGCACTGTTTTAAATTTAATACAGGTCTAAAAGAATTGCAAATTATCTCTGTCTGTGTTTATTTACTTTTTTCATATTGTCCCAACTTTTTTGGAATTGAATTTGCAGTGGTATATTTTTTGGTAGTTGCACAGAACTTAGCTAGAACTGTGACCTTTGTGTTTCTCACCACATTTTCATCCTCAGTCAGTGTTTTCATAACACCTCTTCTGTGTGCATAAAACATGAACAGGTCCGGTCCAGTTGAGCTTTAGCTTGTGTCACGTGATAACAGCGAGATCTGGGATTCTAAATGTGTTTTGTGGCGAATCAATATAAGTGTGCTGTACCCTCTTTTTGCCTTATAGTCTACTGTGAGCGTCCGCACTACAAAAAGACAAGAAATTCTTTAAAAGAAGTGTGTAAAACTCTCCATTTTCAAAATCTGTTTTTTTTTTTTTAATCTGGATTTTAAAAGTCATGTAATGTACATCCAGCTTTAGTATGTAAGTGATGAGGTTCTGATGCAGTACCTTGCTGTATCGATGCCCAGAGCAGTCATGGTTTTGTGGCCTGTTCTCTGAGGGATTTTGGCAGCTTCTTCAACAAGTTGCTTAGTGCTGGTGAACTGGCTAAGGTTAAAAACATGGCCGACGTCATCTCCGTATGATACAACACCCACCTAGCGAGGAAAAATAAGAGATGAGGTAAATTTGCATGCAAACACGTCACAGTGTCTATACCCCAAAAACATGTTAACCCTTTTCACAATAATAATAATAATAATAATAATAATAATAATAATTCTCATGAAATATATGTTGATGGAATAGTTTTCACACATCCCCTTTCACCTCCTACTGCTCACAACACAGAGTCACAACATTTCACCCACAGAGACAACAGTGTCCTAGCTAATGTGAAATCATTTTTTCATTATTATTTTAATTTAAAATATGTGAGTTGATTTCCATTACACCGATGGGATGGCTGCCTGGGGGCCAAAAAAAAAAAACCAGACGCTGCATTACATAACACACTCTTATACAAATATAAACCCACACATACACACACAGTGTCTCGCCCTGTGTGTGACACAGACACAGTACACAGTGAGCGTGCTGACTCAGCTGTGATGTAACTGGTTTAAAACGGACTCTCAAAACATGTTGCCCACTATGGAATATGTGGAGTTCTACTGCACACCGCACATTTTCCATCACCACATTCAGGAAAACTTTCATTTCATCGTCTGTATGCCACCCAGGAGCTTCTCCAGAGCAGCTCTCTGTCTAAACGATTCTCAATTGTTCTAATAATACACCAGAGCAAAACCACAGTGAGTGTGTTCAAACGAATGCGGTAGGACGCTGTGAGGTAGGACAGTTACTTTGGGATTCTGAGCAATTATAAACTTGTCTATTTGTTTGGTGCACTGGCATAAACTATAAACTGATATTTTAACTGGCTGCTAGATTTATTCATTGTTAACATATTAACCCTTTAAACTGCCCACTTACTTTTGAGTTGTTAATGTTAAGGTGTACTTTTTTTAGTATCTACTATGAAATATTTAGTGTCTTTTATAAATTATTCAGTATCTACTATGAAATTTTTAGTGTCTACTATGAATTATTCAGTCTTCTATAAATTATTCAGTATCTACTATGAATTATTCAGTGTCTACTATAAATTACTCCGTGTCTGCTTTAAAATATTCAGTAACTACTACAAATTATTCAGTATCTACCAAATATTATTCAGTGTCAACTATAAATCATTCAGTATCTACTATTAATTATTCAGTACCTGCTATGAATCATTTAGTCAGATTAGATCACACCGTTTAAGTAACCTAAAAGATTATTTTTTTATGTTTATGTAAACGTATTACATTATTGTTACTCACTGCTACTCACACTCACCTTTTTGTCACATAAATCATGATCAGTACTGGATTGCATCTGCTAAGTAAACAACACAACACTGGCTAGCAGCACCATGTAAAATCCAAGCAGCCTTACCCTCGCTGGGCCGATGACAATCTTTGCAAGAAACTTCTCCAGAAACCTTGTGATGTCCTCCCAGGGGTAGATGCTGTTAGAGCCGTCCAGAACAATGACAATGTCCATGTCCTGCTGACATTCTGCAAACACAAATATACATGAACACTATGCCTATCCATAAACTACTGTTCAAAGGGTTGAGCACCAAGCCTTCTTTTGCTATCAGAGTTTGATTTTCATTGCTGCTTTTTATTTACAAAAGGCACTCTTTCAGCCCAAAGATGCTTTTTTTTTCTAATTTATATCAAACAGAATGTTTCATGTGGTACTATAATGAGGCAAGAGTTCTGAACTCTCTATAGGCCCAGAAGTGGCCTATAACTCTGCATAGACTTTCCCTCTTAGCACCTCAACTTAAGTGTGTTTCAGAACACATCCACAAAGCAGCCAGCTGTTTTCATCAAACAAACCTCGCTCTAAAATAAGTACACATAGGTCTTTACTACACTCAAACTATTATAAAGTTCAGAAGGTTTTTATTTTCATTTATTTATTATTTATTATTATGCCGCCCCTTCAGCACCCCCGACTTCCCGCCTCCCTGCCTGAAAGGTTGGAGTACTGATGAATGGCGACATCACAACAAGAAAACATCATTTCTGGCACTGGGCTTTATTGCTAGGGTGTGGGTTTCAGCCAGTTTTCTTTTGAAAAGCTACATGTCTCCAAATGTTTACAGACAATATATATAAAATGAAAAAATAATCCATATTCTGGCACACAACCGCCATCCGTTATGTGTAGGTTTACATGGGGGAATCAGTATTCATGTATAGGTTTACATCTGTGGCTCTCAGTATTCATTCCTTAGCCAATCAAACTGCAGCACATCACATAAACTAGTCATGAACTATATAAAAGCTGGAAATTGATTGAGACGTATTGATATACAGCTCACTTTGACAGAGCATAACAATAATCCATCTCCAGTTTAGCTTAGCGTATGATTTAATAAGGATATGACTGTGCTGTGATCGTGTTCGATATATAGAGTGCAATTCGCAATAGCAGCATGAGTGTAACATCTGTTTTCCAGTACATGGCACATTTCTGAGTTTCATGTTCCTATGACTGCTGCCTGCTCAGTCTCAGTACCATCTCATCCCCAGTTCCTATTTTTCTCACTGACTTCCCTTTCACCATCCCAGTTTGCGTGTTAGGTAGCAAGCTAAACTAAACTGGTAGCCAAGTTCCGCTTAGCAAAATAGTGGAGCGCTCTGCTATCAGGGTAAAGTGAGCTAAATTACTACACATGGCTAATGTTAGCTTAAAGTGTACCTTGAGTGTGGTTGATGGGTTAGGCCTCGGCAGTAGGTTTGTGACAAAAAACTGAATTGCACTTTGGTAAATGGCACAGCCTGAAGTCTACAGTTTTGAGTGTGATCTCACGGGTGAGAAAAAGTAATTGCCCAGCTTTCCTGGTCTTTTTCTGGACTACAGTATCCAGCTCTTCCACTTTTCTCTGGGCCACAGTATCCGGATCTCCCTGTTTTTCTCTGGCCTACAGTATCTGGATCTCCCTCTTTTTCTCTAGACTACAGTATCTGGAACTCCGTGTTTTTCTCTGGACTACAGTAACTAGATCTCCACGTTTTATTCTGGCCTACAGTATCTGGATCTCCCTGCTTTTCTCTGGACTACAGTATCCAGATCTCCCTGTTTTTCTCTGGACTACACTATCCAGATCTCCCTGCTTTTTTCTAGACTACACTAACCAGATCGCCCTGTTTTTCTCTGGACTACAGCATCTAGCTCTTCCTGCTTTTCTCTGGACTACAGTATCCAGCTCTTCCTGCTTTTTTCTGGAATACAGTACCCAGATCTCCCTGCTTTTCTCTGGATTACAGTATCCGGATCTCCCTGCTTTTCTCTGGCCTACAGTATCCAGATCTCCCTTTTTTTCTGTGGACTACAGTATCCAGATCTCCTTGTTTTTTCTCGACTACAGCATCCAGCTCTTCCTGCTTTTCTCTGCTTTTCTACAGTATCCAGATCTCCTTGCTTTTCTCTGGACTTCAGTATCCAACTCTTCTTGCTTTTCTCTGAACTACAGTATCCAGATCTCCCTGCTTCTCCGCTTCCTCCTTTCCTCCGGACTACAAAACTCAGTTCACCCTGCTTTTCTCCAGAATACAAAAGCCAGCACTCCCTGCTTTTCTCTACACCCTTTTACCAAGCTTTCCTTGCTATTTTCTATCTGGACTAGATTACGCTTTTTCTCTTTACTACAGTGCCCACTTCACCCTGCTTTTCTCTAGACTACAGTAACCAGTTTACCCTGTTTTTCTCTGGACTACATTACCAAGTTCTCCCTGCTTTTGTTCTGTCTGGACTGTAGTTTATGCTGTGTTTGGGTGTTCATCGGAAGGTTGCCAGATGGGTTACTTAAGCAATAGAACATGAGAGGGGGTGTGTTATCATGAAATAACATCACGGCTGTGATTTGGTCACAGATCAGAGAGTGTTCTATTGCTTTTATACAACAGTTAAATAAATAATGTAAGAAATAAAAAAATTGGGCTGTGAACATGGCATTTATTATGTTTTAATGTTAGCAGTTCTTTCCGCCGAATTATAGTTTCTTAACAAGCAGGTTTTTGCTACGTCAGAGTAACGAGCTCCACTCACTCGCTGCACAGCCAGCAGTTTGTTCTCCAGTTTGTTCTCCAGCTCCTTACACTAAATTCCGAAACTGTGACAGAAGAAAACCTAAACAACCTGGAATTAGCCAGAAATGAACCGAATACCATTCGCCAAACGTGTAGTCTCAACTTCAGAGTCTGACCAAATCAGACTGAGCCATAAAACTGTTTAGCTCAGTTTTGGCAATTTTTGCTAGATCAATATCAATGTTGTTTTGTTCCAGCCAGTCTGTAAAGCATTTTACAGCCCATTTTGTTTAACAAATGGTATTCGGTTAATTTCTGGCTAATTCCAGGATGTTTAGTCACAGCTGCTGACTGAAAAGCTTGCTCATTGGTAATGACAGTTTGGGAATTTAGTGTTGTCTCATCTTTAGAGTCTGACCAAATCGGCTGTAGGTCAAATGTGGTCTTAAAAGTATCCATTTTCTGTTTGTGCAAAACAAGAAGTAAAAACGTTTCAAATGGATTGAGTGTCTCCTACAGCTGTCAAAGTGGTTGCTTAGCAACGGCGCCTCAGCAGCATGAAACAGTATTTGTGAAAAACCGTGATGTTATGGCAAAATCAGCTTGCATGGCCGGAACTAACTGTTGTATAATGTTAGATATGACTTCTCTCTGTTCAGGTGCTTGTTTGTAGATACACCCACCACACGGAAAAGAAAGCATGCAGGTCTGAAGAACACATACCCTGCTTTTTATCTGCTGTGTTAAAAAACACGTGGATCTAATAGAAGTGCAACAGTTGTTTTTTTTTTACATTCACGTTCAGTTTAGCATTTTTCACTTTTGCAAAAGGTGAAAGTTGGTGTATCATCTAGAATCCCGTAACGTAAATACGGTTTTCTTGGTTGTATAAGCGCAATTTACTGGGAAAACTGGCATTTCCTATTTCTGACACCACTTTAACACAGCATAAGTACTGAAGCAGTAAATAAAACACTGTCAGCTTAAGGACAGTGTCTCATTTAGGCAAAATAATAGAACTACTAAATTGTTATTAGCACAGTACACAAAGGAATATGAGTGTGTGTGTGTGTGTGTGTGTGTGTGTGTGTGTTTATGGCAGATGGGCTGTGAGCATTTGTGATGAGTCACTGATTCCTGTGTGTGCAAGGCTTTAGTAAACCCTGTCCTAAATTGGGCATACAGGGCAGGAAGGGCAAGCCGCAGTTTACAGGCTTTGGAACGTGTTAATATACACACTTGCCACGTGCCTTCAGTGTGTGTGTGTGTGTGTGTGTGTGTGTGTGTGAGTGAATGAGTGTGTATACTTTGAACAGTCGGGGCGATGGAGTTAAGCACTTTAAATGATGAGCTGACGTTAGAGCAGATGCCGGTGATGTACTGCTGACTTCCACACATGTATCCATACTGAGGACCACAGGCCTGCAGGAGAGACAGACAGCAAGTGAGACAGAGAGAAACAGAAGAAAAAACAGAGGTGGTGAAAGAGAGCGAGAGAGAGAGAGAGAGAGAGAGAGAGGCATAAAGAGAAGTACAGAAATGGAAAAAGAGAAAAAAGGAGGGAAGGAGATGTGCAAGGGCAGAGAGACGGAACAAGAGAGAGAGTCAGTGGGAAAATGTGCGTCAGCTCTTCTGCATTAAAGCTTCTCTCAGTCCTGAATGACCATTTAACTGAACCGCAGCAGACAGAGCCGTGTGGCTTCGTAATTACAAACAATAGCTGGAAAATCTGATCCCTTCAATAAATCAGCCCTCATTACTGTTCTGTCCATGTTTATAGATAGCAGTTTGTCATACAGCATCAGAACGCAGTCTTTTACAGATTACTGAACATCTCCACATGGCTTGAGACGAGAGGCCAATGCATGATGATGTATGCTATTTGGTCGGCTATAAGCTCCCTACTTATTTGTTAGCAGAGCTTCACAATATTTCATTTATTAAAGCTGCACTATGTACGATTTTTGTGTTTGAATTGAAAGAAGTGTCATTACTAAACGAGGGGAATAGAAACAGGCTAAAATATGAGCGTGCACTGCTGTGAGTCGCCCTGTAAAGCCTGAAATGATCATTTTAAAGTCAGAGGCGTCGAGTCGGAGCTTGTTGGACCACGTCGTATGTCTTTACGCAATAACATCAAACGTACAGACTCAAACAGAAAGTCTGGCTCGATGTTTAGGGCTGCATCCAGAAACTTTTGCTACTGCTCCTGTCCTACTCTGGAAGAACGCAGAGGAATCGAGGCAGAGGAGGAATGGAGGGAGCGAGCAGAAATTGGGGAAATGAGACAGCTGATTCTTTTCAATGTCATTAATTTTGATGTAGACTATTAACAAAATGAGCTGATTATTAACAATATGTGGTCCAACAAAGTAAATAATTTTTTGTCAAAATAGTACGGGTCAGCTTTGAAGCACACACTGCAACGTCAAAGACTCAATGTTTTTATAACATACTGCAAGGCATATCGTTATCACAGTATGATATTTAATCTACATGGTGCAGCCCCACTTGTTAGCTACATTAGCCTGGTAAATCCGGTGCAAAAACTAAGGCTTTGTTCAGACTGCAGGCAAATAAGATTTGTTCATGACTCATTGCACCGTTATTTGCAAGTGATTAGATCAGACTTGTGTGTCCTGACATCACCAGTCTATCTACATGGGTTGCTGTGGTAACAACGCAGGCATCAGTAACTACGTAGGCACGCTGGTGAAGCGGATTCCATACGCAGATGCAGGAGAGATGGAGGTGCATCATCTCACCCTCCAAACTCCTCAGAATTCTATAGCATAGGAGTTGAGCGTCCAGACTGAGACACATCTATAAAAATCTGATCGGAGATGCATTTCAAACCACCCCCAAATGTGTTTTAGATCTGATTTACAAAAATAAAAATATCAAGTGTTTTGTTTTTTGCTGTCCAGACTATCAAAAATCAATCTGGATTCAATCTGGATGTGCCAAAAATCAGATTTGGGCTGGCAGTCTGAACAAGGCCTTAAAAAGCTAAAACATCAGACACCAAATGTTTCTTGGCTGATCTGTATTTGGGGTAAGAAAGGAAACTATGTTGGTTTGGTTTTTTCACAAACTATCACTTTAAAGTGCAGTTCCTGAATATATTTTAGTGGCATTTTCCACAACGATCAGGGACATTTAGAGTGAACATCTCCATACCAGAAATCCTTTCCCATCCGGATTAGCGACCAACGTCGTTCCCATGGTCATATTTTCTTTGACTTCTAGTATTTTTGGAATTGTTGTTTGGTCTGGGGGAAAATTACAGACAAAAAAATACAGACATCAAATCAACTCTAACAAAATAACAGCTGAACAGTCATAAAATAATAATTCCTTGATTCCTTGATTGGCCCTTAGAAAACAGATTCTGTCAGTCCAGCGTTTTACTGATGACTTTCTTTACTGACGTTGTATTCAGATGGCAGGCCTTCTGTGTTTTCCTCCCTTTGCACCAGTCATGAGTTCATGGAGGTCACTGCATTTACAACATCACGCCTGTGTGTGCTCCACAGGCTCCTTTTTGTTTTTTTCAAAGGCATAACATGAATAATCTCACATAAGCCTCTGATAATTTACCGCATATCCATGAGAAACAGGCCAACAGTAAGGGCAGACTGTCCTCAGGCTTCCGAAATATGAATATTGCAGTTGCTGATGGTCAGGATAAGTACATGCATCTGGACCAAAGTTCAGAGGAAAACAAGAAAACTCATTTATGCAAAAGTGTCAAGCCCAGACCACCGAGGTCGTCCATTATTTTGTAATCAGCGACATGCCCAAATAAGGAACTCTGCATGTGAATTAGTTCTGCGTGTGGGAAAAATTCCATTTTAAAAATTTATTTGACAACAATGAAGCTGTCACTGTGCTCCTACGTTCAGAGTTACAGGCTGTCCACAAATTACCGGAAGAAAAAGTACTATATCTCTGTAAAAATAAAAGCATCTGCTGATGCTTCTAGGACCATCACTTATGAGGTGTACAGGGCTGATATAGATGACTATTCTACTACTGCTCCTGATAATAACAATAATAGAAGCAACACTTTTGCCTCTGGTAATTTTTTTATTGTCCCTGGCACTGAAGCAGACATGCGAGTAAACACAGAGACAGCATGTGAGTCATCTTTAATTTGGCCAAGAAACTGTAATTATTCTTGTAATATAGAACGGAACTGTGAATGTCACACAGACTTCCCATCTGAGGCCTTCTTCTCTATAATTTCTCCTGAGGCCTGTTTCACCAATATATGAGAGCTGACGCTTGTTTTTACTTATGTTTTTCTCTAAACACCTGAAGCTGTTTTGTGTGATGTCTGAAACCTGATTCTGTGTTCTTAGGATGCCCTAAAACATACATCGTACCATGTAGACAATTATTAGTAGATGTGTGATGTCTGCCTGCAGCAGCTACAAAACATGTTCATGTATATACAGTCAATGTGGTATTAAAGGGGACCTATTACGCTCATCTTCAATGTTTAAAATTGTATTTTTGGGCTCTACTAGAATAGATTTATATTCTTCAGTGTTCCAAAAACACACTATTCTTCTCATACTGTACATCTCCATTCACCCTCTGTCTGAAATGCTCTGTTAGAGCTTCTGTGTCTTTAAGCCTCCCAATGAGCCCAGTGTTCCCTGATTGGTCAGCTCTCCCACTCTGTTTTGACTGAGGGTTGTCGAGCGTTACAAGATTGCATCATCAAAGGAAATTCCAACAAGGCGTTTCAGGCAGCTGTTGAACATTAGTTTCTTTTACCTCCCAGATAAATGACTTTACTTATCATTTCCTCAGATGGTTAGTGGTGTTCAAGTTTTGTAGCAGCCTTACACTCGTAAGATGTGAATTAAAAGCGCAGGAGTGTTATCTTACTTAAAGCATGCATGTATGTATAGCATTATTCATATTATGACTAAAAATTCAGAGGGCACAGGGACATTCAGGGAACAAAATGTATCGAGCTTGTACCACAGGTCACTATAACAGCAGTTTTACACCACTCGTTCAATATTCCCACAAAGAAAAATGGCTTAGACTCAGAATTCCTTATTTGGGCATAAGTCCGACAACAACATGACACACAACCTCAGATGTCTGTGCAGAGGCCTGCAGTAAGAGACGCTGAAATGAGCCAGGCTTTACAGCTCTAATCCATCTTATCTAGATCATCATAATGAGAGTCAAAATCATTACTACTTCATTTACATGGGCATTTCCTGTTTTGATGTGCACTTCTTCCTGTCCAGCCATGGTTCAGAGTCAGAGCCAACCACACACACACACATCCCTTCTGAAAGGCTGGCTTCATGTGTTGAACAAGACATGCCAGATAATAAACCTCATAAACAACACTCAACATCTGCACACAGACACACATGTAGCGTGACCACCCATAATGCATCACTACAATTACTTGCATTTTCTCCATGTAACAGTCTGGGACTGTTTTTTTCCCCAATTGCCCTATGAAAAAAATAGATCCCTATTTGAATATTAGGGCACAATCGAGTACGTCAGCCCTTTTTTATTTCTTTCAGTGTCCGAATTGTCAAATGGAATTCCCATATGATTTCAAGAGGCTCTATAAAATTTAATAGTGCACATGTGATTTGTAGTGAACACTGCAGATATATTTAAACCAGCTGTAAATATACCAACATGCTTTGCAAGTCTCTTGTCACTATAAAATGGATAGTAACAAAGTGGACACTAAGCCACCGAAAACTTATCATGATGATGAGCTCTTACAGTTAAAAATTCAGTCAGTCAGTGCTTAGTGATTTGCTAAGTGTCCATTTGTCAGTTTCACACAGAATGTAGGACACACAAATCCACCAGATGACGTGTATCTCAGCCCCTCTTCACAGCCTCATAACTCTGGATGTGAGTCACATACGATCCCATGATAAGATAGAATGGAAAGGGCGACTCTACAGATTCAGGAAATGTTTGAACTGTATTTCTGCGCTGTATTATTACAAAGATAGAAAAACAGATATAGAAATATCGAATTTGACACGCAGGTGGGTTTGTGGACCCCAGAGGGTTAAAAATTACACTCATATCTACAGTTACGAATAAGAAGCCAACTTCAGCCTCTCTTAGACAACTACTTCTGGATTGTGCGACTGGTTCACTGGTCCAAATTCACTTCCTGTTTCATACATTTTTACCACTGTTTAGTAAACTAAGTAGTTCACCTATACTGAATCATCTGTATTCTGGTATTATATGATGAGTCAACATTTCAGATCATAACATTTCAAAATAACAGACATTCAAAGTTCAAACGCAGATGCCGGAGAGAAGCTTCACATCTATGAAGGCACCATTAGCACTAAAAGATCTATACATATTTTGGAGCAACATAAGCTGCCTTACATACAACATCTTTTTCAGGGACCTTCACACTTTTCAACATGACAACACTAAGCCACATTCATGTGATATTTAACATTTATTTAGGCAGTTTAGAGTATGTGTGTGTGTGTGAATGTATTATGTCTGTAGATATCAATAAAGTTCAACTAAATCAATTAAATACTGTTCAGGCAATCATGGCAGTCTCTTAAAAGAGTAATTTGCAGCAGAGCTGTAAGTGTGTGTGAAGCTCTCTGGCCTGTAAGCACGGCAGCAATCAGTGTAGCATGTAAGTAGAGCTCGGATGTAATTTAACTGCTGTGAACCGACCTCACCAAAACATCAGTGAGTAATCAACAGGAAACAGGGTGGCAGAAAACACACAAATACCCCCTCACACGCTTTCTCACACACACACTGGAAGGCCAGTTCTCACCAGGCAAGTCTAATTTTATACACTCTGAAGAACCGCCTGCAACCACAGGGCATTTGTAGACGTCTCCAGTCCGCTTTGCTGGCTGACCCTTCAGAGGAGAACCAATCAGAACCCTACAGAGAGAGAGAGAGAGAGAGATTTGATTACGTTAATGTGTTTGTTTAACCATTTCCAAACCTCAGCTCGTGGGAGTCCAGTATTAATTGTGGTTATCATCCAACACCTGGTTTATCTAATCAATACTTCATTAAATTAAATTAGGTGCTGCTGATGGAACTGAACAAATCCATGTGATGGCTGGAGTTCAACAAGAAGTCACGTACCAAACCTGTGTTCTTCAAACCAGCTCAAATCAAACCACGAGAAATCGTGTTACTGTACTGTTATTTATTTGTTATGTTATTTGTTTATTGTAATGTTTTTTTGTGTAATACATTACACAAAAAAAGTTATCATTTTGGAGATACAAGGTTTTGTTCTGATGGCAGCGACATACATATATATACACACACACAGAGATTTTGTCCTTTCAATTGTTTGTGTTCAATTGTTCAAAGTTTGTGTGTGTGTATGTGAGAGAGAGAGAGAGAGAGAGGCATAAACATTTCAAACCACAAACCTCAAGAGAAAATCAAACAGCAAAAGAAAAAGTCTTGTGAAAGCTGATGCCCACTCAAAACTCAAAACTCTGCAGAGCTAATTCATTCTCTGTTTTCGCAGCACAAAAGAAAAGCAAAAAAACGTGTGACTCTACATGCGTCGCATTACATTAATGATGTGTACATTAACAGAAAAGAGCCCCAGGTTTCACAGTTCACATTACATCAAAAAGGATTTGTATATTTAAAGCTTTAGGTGTGGTGCTGACGGATGTATAAGACCATTCTAACTCTAATCCCTACACTAATTTATAATAGCATATCCATAATGCAGATGAGTTATTTATATAGTCAGGTATGAGTGGGCAATATGACAATATTTATCGTTGTCATGATAAATTATGTTTCAATATGTCACAATATGCTTCTGCGAGGACAGTGTGGAAATCATCAGTACTTAAAAACAGTGCAGCATAGGATGTGAAATGAATTGTTTAGCTATGCAATGTACTTTTGTCCATTGTTTATTACAACAGGGAAAAAGGGGGGCGGTATAAGGTTCCACTTTACAGACAAGCATACCCATTATAGCACTTAGATGTATTTATACATGCTACGCTAAAATAAACCCCATTTTCCCAACATTATAAACAAAGTTCCATTCTTAGTCTCAAAATAAGTCACTAATGAATAAAATTCATTCACAATTTCAATCCGTTGTTTCTTTGTTGAAGGGATTCTGTTGCAACCAACTTCTTATTACTGCCTTTTTACTACCAAAATACCGATAATATTTTGCTCAGGCAGTTATTATTCTTTCCTACACTCCTAAAAATGATGGTTCTTCAAAGGTTCTTTAGTAAAGAAAAAGGCTCTAAATAGATCCATGAACACTCAAAGAACCCTAAGGGAATCCGAAAGTGTTCTTCTTTTATTACAATGTCAAGCCTGTGACAACAGAAGAACCCTTTTTATGTGCTTTATAGAACCCTTTTTTAAAAGGTTCTTTATAGAACCATATAAAACACCCTCTCTACCTATCTGAATAACACTTTAACAATGCAAAGAACACTTTAATCATGCAAAGTGTTATTTCAGTGTTCATGGTTCTATATAGAACCATTTCTTTTACTAAAGAACCCTTGAAGATCCATCTTTTTCAGTGTGTACTAACTGGAATACACCCTCAATAGCTTCCTTGACACCCGGCCAATGGGCACCCGCAGAAAATATGAAAATGATCAGCCATCTGAGTTCCGCACTTTCTCAAGCACAGCCTCTGATTCACAATAAAACCCTACAGCTTATTTCCATTATAGTCCTTGTTGTCTTAAGAAGAACTACAGGGAGATTCACTCGAAAGAGGCCCCGAATGTTCTGCTGTAACTCCTGTTAGGATGAAGCAATCTGAACCAAAAAAATACACTACATACTTTGACATATGTGTAATTGATTGCATTACATGTGATGCTGGAAGTGATCTCTGTTTTCTGCCAGACACATGAAGGAGTATGGGGGTATACAGCCGGACACTGCAAACGGAGGTTAAACGTCACGATGGCTGTCCGGTACCTACCTCATCGCTCCGACGCAGGGGCATCCCGGCTTGTTCGAAGCTCCATGTACTGAGGAGCTCATTGCATGTTGTTTCGGTCAGACTGCTTCGTCCTAGAGAGAGTTATTACAGAATATTCGGGGCGTCTTTCGAGTGAATCTCCCTGTAGATGTTGAGGATATGCTCTGCAGTCCCAAATTTAGTCCATGTTTATAGATAACAGTGTGCCATACAATGTCAGAAACCACATAGTAAAGTCTATTTGAGATGCTTTGAGACGAGTAAGTGATGATTCAGGCAAGCAGTTAGCATCATGCTAATTGCTATGCTAATAAGCTTCCATTACTTGTTAACTACATTAGCTTTGTAGCTCAAGTACAAAATGAATGAAGAAAACATCAGAGACCAAACTGAACCAAAAGGGGCGAAAACTGTAAACTGTTTGATTTTTGTCTAAGCTATCGGTTTAACCATTTCCACAAACAACATAGAGTGCTTCATTTCACTTCATGTTTTCGTGTAATCTCAGTTGTTTCACCTGTAGTTTCTGTGTTATTTTTGTTTTGGTTTTGCCAAGAATTGATCTGTCAACTTTTAATTTGACGCCAGCTGAGGAACTGTCTGTTTTCAAGATTAACAATTTGAGTTTCAGGCGGGTGCTCCAGTAAAGATAACTTTGCACGTATGTCCAACCTATTGACTCCTCCTTACTTTAGCTCTGAGCTTACTTCCCACTGACCACTTACTGACCCTCTAAGTGGGAACACTTGTTTTTCAGAAGGAAAACTGACCCTCCAGCTGCTGGGGTTAAAACTGGGCATCAAACTAAGAACATGTAAACAACTCCAGTCTTTAGCATTCCATCACTCAAATGAGGCCTGATAAAACAGCGCGGATATCGCAGGCCAAGCGCTCTGCGTAAACATCTCACTCTCTAACGCTGGCATTCAGCTCAACCAAGAGAGTTGATTAGAATACAAACGACTTGGCAACATAATTAAATCAGAGTGTTTTTACAGCAATTCAATTAATTAAATGAATTTGATTCAATTAGCTTCTTAAACTGCAGACTAATTATTCAGTTATTAATATTAGGACACATTTTTCAGTAACTGTCTATATGTCTATATGTCTATATCTATATGTGATATGTATCTCTCTTGGCTTTGGATATACTTTGTGTATGAGTATATTATGTCGTTGGCACACATATTCTTAAAGCATTCTTCAATTATAAATGCTTTATGGACATGAATATACTACATAGAATATAATATGCATATCTTTGAATAAGCTTACAAAGTGTTATAGCACCCAGGGCAGTTTATTTCCTGAAAAGATTTAAATTTTTGCATGATTATGTAATGAAGTATGCACAAAGCATGACTGAAATTGTTTTAAATAAATACATTATAGTGTGGTTACTCATTAATAAATCTACTTATGATCTACTTATTAATCTGCTCTTCTCTTTTAATTACACGATTTCTTCAGTGCTTTTGTCATCTTTATTTTGTTAGGTAAAGAACATCTAACAAAGCTGAAAACGCTACTGAAAAAAATATCATTTTAAACATTTATTCATCAAAGTATATTCATTTTCACATGAGGCAGGTGGAGCTTGTTTTACACACTGACAGGAAACATGGTAGCACAAAAAAGCCCCAATTCCAATTATAACTAATGATTGCAGCACTAACTAACCTGAAACAACAGAAACATAAATACAAATGGCTACTCTAACTCCCTAACTCACACTGAGTTTCACAGAATCTAAAAAAATCTTTCGCAAAGTTTAAGTAAGGAAGCGAAGCATGCCAGGCTGATATGGACAGGTGTACTTCCAGGTCATGTCAGAGGGGAGAGAGCCCTGAATATCTCCCAGGGAGTGGCTTGGTAACCTATAGAAAGCCCCCCTGAGAGGTCAATCACATACCTGCACATAATAGAACAAGAAAACGGACACACAAATGGACAGAGGCAAAGAAAGGCTATTACAACCGAAGGTCGTAACATACACATTTTTTGTTTTCATATTTTGAATACTGAGTATTTAAAATCATTTATGTATAATATTTTAGCAAGGAATGACCAGCCCTCAAGTATTTTCATGGGGTCCATTCAGGCCCCCTTTGAAAAAAGTGTGGAGACCTGTGATATACACAAACTTTGAATAATTTTATAACATTTTTTGTAACATTGTTTGGTCACACTTTATTCAGATGGTCCCCTATAGATGCTTTACAGATACTTAAATCATTAGCAAACTTTCTGGTGATGTTCAGTTGATTATCAATAACAGTATGATTAAGATTTAGGGTTAGGAGTATGTGTAGGTTTTGCCTTGAGGTTAAGGTTAGGTTAGGGTTAGGGTTAGATTTTATAAACTCTTTCATACTCGAAGTTCTGTTGAATTTAATGGATATTTAATTGAATGTTACTTAAACATATACCATGCATTTCCAAAGTATCTACAGCGGACCATCTAAATAAGATTAATTATATATAATATGTTACCTTGTTTGAACACCATTTAATGCTTCAAGGTAATATGATGCTTATATATGGCACATGTATTTTTTTGGCTCAATAAACTGCCCAATTAGCGAGGATCATGAGATCTTCTTTGGGTTCACTGGTCAGCTGCAGTAGTGGCTGCAGTGAGGGTGGCCTGGAGTTTACAGCACACAGGAGAGCATGTACCTCCTGAGGAACATGACACTTCACATCAGTGTAAAACACTCCTCAGCCTTTTACAGCAGCTCACATGGGGCTTTATTAGGGTTCACTGTCCAGCAGGTTGTCTCCAGCTGGCTATTTTGTTGGGGGCAAAAGCATGTGACACAGGACGGTTGTGTAGCAGAAGTGACACTTTTTTGGAGTGTAATAATGAAACAAGGTTTTGTTCTGCTGATTCATTCATCATGTTTGTGTCTCCTTTATCTTATCCAAATTTGAGTAGCTGGCCAGCGTGCATGTCCAAGATGGTCAGTAAAATGGTTCAGTATGTGGAATTGGAGCTTTTTGTGAGCTATAAGGAAAGAAAAGAAAGCTCCATGCTGCCTTATGTTGAAGCGCTGCAATAGTTCAGTTCATACTCAGTTCACATCAATGTGGAAACACCTATTACTGATTTATATCATCAGAGTAAAAATAAAATAACACTCAAGTGTGAAGTATGTTCTTATTTGAGTGTATGCGCGTTTAAAATGTTAGTTTATGACAAATCATGTTCAGCTTTATAGATCTTTCTTATCATACCAAAATAAATGCACTGAGAAATTACAGTATTAATACAGAAGAATTGAATAAATGCCAGAAATAATGTTTGTGAAGGATTTGAAGGACTAATTTGTGTGTGCATGTGTTACACAGGGTCTCCTGATGTGTTACAGATGGCTAAGTCGGGTTAAGTGCTACACTATGAAATGTCTGCTTCACTTGAGTTCACCTGTCTGAGGAGATCAAGTGAAAATAAGCCGTAAACAGAGCTGAAGCACAGCGGGAGTGTAAAATAGAGGAAATTCATTTTTCTGAGGCTTTAAAAAGCACATTTCATCAGCCAGCACAAATAACCCTTAGAAGCAGTAATTATAACCAGTGATAACAAAAGCGTGTTGTAATTTTTATATTAATTCTGATTCCTGTGCAAAGTGCAGATTCTAAACTTTCAATATTGTATATTCATTAATACAGAAAAATAATTAAATATTCTTTCTGAACATCAACATGTAACCCTAAAGTTTTTTAGTTTTCCCCTTGACTTTCCATGATGTGATATAACAAATGTCACAATAGTGATTTCAGTATTCAAATACTGTCACCTGGAACAGTAACTCAAGCACAGTTTCACTCAGTATCTCACCATTTTCCTTCACTGTTCTCAAACTGTTGCACAGTGTAGCCAAACATGTCCTCCACAGGGCCACTGAATGACATCCCATTCTTCTCATCCACATTAAAGAACGACAAACATGGCAGCAGCACTGCAACAGGAAAAACAAAGGAAAACAATTACAATCTGATTAAAGAAGCACTATGTAGGATTTGGGGATTTAGAGACCTCTCTGGTGGAAATGTGTAATTGCAAGCAACGTGCAGAAGAACATTTTGTAACGCAGTTGTGCTTCGGACCACCACAAATGAATCTGACTTTTGAGAGTGTGTTCAAAGAGAACTTTAGAGAGTCTAAACTTGGTAAAGGACACATCTTCTGAGGATGTGAGTGAATTATCTACTGTTGTCATCATATCTTCATCAGTATAATGTTGATTTTAAGACTGCTTGAGACCTAAACATCGAGCCAGACTTTCTTTTTGAGTCTGTGTGTGATGTTAATATTTAGAGATATACAACGTGGTGTGAAAATTTCGACGCATCTAACTTTTAAATTATTATTTAAGATACTGTATAGTACTGATAGATACTGATAGATATTGTAGATACTTTTTTCAGGTTTAATAAAAAAATATTACATGGTGCAGCTTTAATAAAGCAACTGTTTACTTTATGCTAGTAGTGAAGGCATTAAAAGGTAATTAATGTTTAAAAGGAAGCATAAAGGTCATTTGGGTTAGGGGAGGCAAAATGACAATATTTATGATTATGGTGACATCACAGTATGGCTTTCTGAGCACATTGTGGATAATATGAATACTTCAGGATACTGACCAAATGCATGTTACTGTGCAAAGAGAACATACAGTAATTAGTCTTTAATGCAGTGCCTTAAGAAAAGTTTCACATACTGCACTTAGTTTTTGAAAGTACTTCAAACGTGGAACTATTGCAGCATTCTGTTTGTTCCAACTGATCAAACCTGAAAAAGACTCAATATTGTAATGCGTATCATGTATCGAGAAAATGTCCTCAAGTATGAGGATATATTTTTCAACTTCGCCCACCTTTAATTTAGGATGAGACATAAATGCAAGGACACCAAACATAAATGTATAAAATGAGCTCTTGATTTTAAAAAGACAGAACAGTAAGCAAATAAATAGATATAAAAACTGCAATAAAATTTTGAAAAATATGCTGAGAGTTTTGCACTGCACTCTCAGAAATAAAGGTACTAAACTGTCCCTGGGGTGGTACCCTCAAGGATACATCCCAGTACCTTTAGTCAGGGAACATAGTTATACCATAATCCATTGAAATTATATTTTCTAAGTTGTTTTGACTCCACACACCCCGTCTCACCTACAGGCTTTTTATTTTATTGTTTTGTTTTAAAACATTAGGTTATGAAAAGATACAAATATGTTCTTTTCACCTGGAAAAAAACCTATTTCAGGTTCACAATTGGACCTTAAAATCACTGTTGTACCTTTGAGGAAACATTTACATTGTTTATACCCTGGTGAATGAAAAATGTACCGGCACAGAACCTTTATTTCTAACAGTGTGGAATGTGAAGATGCAGAATTAGAGATCAAAAATTGTGTTAGAGCAGCAAAACAGTTAGGCACAATTCAAACATACAGCGAGATTATTATTAGTCACTTTTATAAAGTTGTCAGAGAAGCAGAAACGTCTGTTTCAAAGATTGAAATGGAGCATTTTGTTCCAGAGGAACAACCAGGATAAAAAAACCAAAACAAAACTTCAGTGACACGGACAACAATTTCTCTGTTTTGCTCCACTTGTGTATGGGAGTAAAATATGTGATTTCAGTAAAAGAGCACTAAGTGCATGGGAGGATTTTTAAAAGGCTGCTGTAGTCCTCTTGGACAATGACTCCTTCACTCATTACTGCATATGAAGGGGACACTAAATATAGTGTTAAAACAGCTCTTTGTGCCCAGGCCACAGAGAGCCTCTTCATACATGTAATGGAATTTCCATCCTAATTTATTCAATCCCTCAATTTCTAAAGCAGCGCTGAACATTTAACAAACCTCTGACATGCTGACTTGAGCCAGGGCGTCTGCAAAACAGGCCAAACTCAAAGACTGTACAAAGAGCATTTGTCCACCCATTTTTTCACTTTCTACTGTCCATAGTGAACATTTCAGCGCTAAAGAGGAGATTAATGCACGTAGGGTAAAAGCCTGAGGAGCCGCTGTGTAAAGTCCATTGAGACAGATGGATTTCAGGGTATTTATTCAGAAATGACACGACTTGCAGTGTGTGACCTATCATAGCAGACACAAAGAGGAGGATGAGAGTGCTATGGGCATGATTCAAATACACAGCCTCAAAGCAATCAATGGAGATAAAAAAAAACATCCTGTTTACACAATTTCCCCCTTTTTCCCAATGTATTAGATCAGACGAGACCTGTTTGATATCTAAAGTTTATTTCTCTGCTAGTCCAAAAACACACATGAAGATCACAGCCACTCCTGCTTTTTTCCATGTGGTTTGATGTAGTTTAACAGTTAAACATACATTCAGCTGGTTCAGGGAAAAACACATTAGCCCTTTTTCACAGCAGCCATAACATTTTTTGGAGGTCCCTTAGTTGAACTATGTTTTTTTTCTTCAATAACACTAAAAAAGGATATACAACTAACTGGATTTTCTTGTTTCTACAATCTTAAAAAAGATGGTTCTTCTTTGGTAAAGAAAATGGTTCTGTATAGAACCATGAACATACAAAAAACCTCGCATGATTAAATGGTTCTTTGCATGGTGAAATGTCTCTTTAGATTGATGGAGAATTTGCTGTAGAGAATGTGCTTTTTGAAAAGGGTTCTATATAGCACCAAAAAGGGTTCTTCTATTGTTATGATGTCAAGTGTGTAACAACTGAAGAACCCTTTTGGTGCCACATAGCCCCCTTTTCAAAAATGTTCTATAGAGAAACATATAAAACTCCATCAATCTGAAGAACATTTTTCTGATGCAAAGAGGCCTCAGGCAAAGGGTTCTTTGCGTGTTCATGGTTCTATGTAGAACCATTTTCTTTACTAAAGAACCATCTTTTAACAGTGTGCAGGTGAGCAAGCAAGTCAACATTTATAAAAGTGTTTTTATCATGTTTAAATGCTGTCTTTGGGCAGAGGTGTGAATAGCTTCTCGCCCCTCCCCTTTCAGTCCTCATTGCTCACTAGCAGCTCAACACGGAGTCAAGTGTTTCACACACAGTTCATCTGATAAAGTTACAGGGGAAAAAGTTTATTTTATCTATAAGTGAATATCCTCTAAGAATGGAGTGCCTGCAGTGTGAGGCTAAAGTCTTTCAATACCACTGACTGAATCAGTCATTTGAAAATGTATAGTTTCAGTGTGTATGTACAATATTTTATTTAGAACGCAAAATTGTAAATAAAAGGGAGAGGTTAATTATCAATCATCACTAGTTATCAGTAGTCAGACTAGACCTTGTATCCCTAGACAAAACTTTTAACAGAAGAGGAAGAAATGTGGAAAACCAGCTTCAGCAGCAGAAAAAGAAGGACAACAAAAACAAGACAACATAATGACATGAAGAAAACAAGAGAGGATAAACAATGATAAAAGCTAATGAGGATGATGATGATTGGATGTCCGAGACGTGACTGCACGTAGGTTTGTCTCTCTGGGATTTTGAAGCTTGATAAACACAGTGAGTTATCTCCTCTATAAACACAGACACAGACAGCCAGAGGCAGACCGAGACTTCCTCCCAGACTTCATGTACACATACACACCACAGCATCTGAACATGAAACATTAATCTCCTCTTAATGAAGAGCTCGGCTATGACCAGCACTTCAGGCAGCGTGAGGGGTAGGACAGAGGACACAATGAGTTCACACAATGAACGCACACTTTCCAACGTCATTACAGGAACCGCTCAGCAAATTATCAACTTTACACAATTATAAAAGATCGTAGATCAATCAAGGAAAGTTTCCTGTCTGAAATTTTGCACTACAGACTTTGAAATGAACAGTAGCTGCTACTACTGTTTTTATCAATGTGAGACATTTTGGCCATTTTTATATATAACATTATGTCATACTGTGTCAGCATAGTTCAGTGCTACCCTCTTAACAAGGTTCTTCAAGGGTTCTTTGGTAAAGAAAATGGTTTTATATTGAACCGTAAACACTCAAAAAACCCTCTGCAAGATTAAATGGTTCTTTGCATCATAAAATGCTTCTTCAGATTGACAGTGAATGCGTTGTAGATGGGTCTATATAGAACCTTTTTGGAAAGGGTTTTATCACCAAAAAGGATTCTGTTATTGTAGCAAACTTGATGCTATAAAGAACCATATACAACACACTCTCCATCAATCTGAAGAACCCTTTCACGATGCTGAGAACCCTTTAATTATGCAGAGGGTTCTATGCATGTTCATGGTTCTATGTAGAACCATTTTCTTTACAAAAGAACCCTTTAAGAACCATCTTTTTAGGTGTGTAGGTAAGCAAGCAAGACACCATTTACAAACGTGTTTTTTATCATGTTTAAAAAAGGGTTCTTTTATTGTAGCAATCTTGATGTCGTAACAACAGAAGAAGCCTTTTTGGTGCTATACAGAACACTTTTCAAAAAGGTTCTACCTAGAACACATTCTCCATCAACCTGAAAAACCCTTTCAGTTTATGGAGATGAAGAATGTGTTGTATATGGTTCTATGTAAAACGTTTTTGTTCTATACAGTGTTCTATACAGCACCAAAAGTGTTCTATACAGCACCAAAAGGATTCTTCTGTTGTTACGATATCAAGCTGTCTACAATAAAAGAACCCTTTTTGGTGCTAGGGTTCTTTATAGAACCATTTACAATGCATTCTCTGTCAATCTGAAGAACTATTTCACCATGCAGAGAGCCGTTTAATCATGCAAAGGGTTTAAGTGTTCATGGTTCTATATAGAACCATTTTCTTTAGTAAAGAACCCTTGAAGAACCATCTTTGTAAGAGTAAAAGACTAAAGAAGCTGTTTTATACTGTCCTGGCTGATAAACTACATTTGGGAAAAGAGGAAAACTGTATGAGTTAGATATTTTACCAAACTGTCACTTTAAGCGATTTCCATTTGGGCCTTC